AGTTTTCTTTTGTAAATAGTCATGAGTTTGATTCTCATTTCTCATTCATATGTTACGTAAAGGATATAGATATGAAAAATATATATATAGTCTTCTTCTATTGAGGGATCCCTTAAATAATTTTATTTAAAGGACACCCTTTAGAGTACCTTACGATTTTTTTTTTCAACGATTCAAACAATCTATTTTTTAAGTCTACATTCATAGATCAACCTTGCAAAAAATTAGACAAATCAGAAAAATTGTATCGTACAAAATCAATGAATACGGTGCATTAAGAAAGTGCTAAAATTTCAATAACATAATTGAGTGGTCAAATGATATCAGATTCAAATGATTTTTTGAAGAGATGATATTTGAATGATTATATAAAACATAGACTGTTCGGATTAGTTAAATACAATGTGAAGTGGGCCCTACAAAACTGTCTCTCAAATAAGCTAATTTGAGGAATCCCTCAATAAAAGCTCTATGTATATAGATATATAGTAACATCCCACATTGATCAACGGAGGGGGGGGTAATGTGCCTTATATGTACATGCCCGTCTCTATCTAGTACGAGGCCTTTTGGGAGTTCATTGACTTCGGAGTCATAGGAACTCCGAAGTTAAGCGAGTTGGGGCTAAAGTAATTCCAGGATGGGTGACCCACTGAGAAGTTGCTCATGAGTTCCCAGAAACAAAACCGTGAGGGCAGAGAGGGGGGGCCCAAAGTGAACAATATCGTGAACAATATGTGACATATATATATATATAAATTTTTAGAAATAATGATTGTCTAGCATTAAGATTATATACATGCATCAGAAAATTTTATGTGGAAGGATCTTACTCTGACCACAATAATGGCCAAACCTTCCAAAACCAGTGTTAATTAAACACATTTCCATGACAATGATTCACAACTAATTCATTTGTAATTCTCAAATTCAACCAATTGCGGGAAAGTAACATAATTGAATAGGCCCAATGCCCCTCCATCAATGAGCTGAAAACAGGGACAGAAAGTCAGGTGGATTTTGGAGCAGTCTTTACACATTTTATATGCATGAATTCATTGCTAAAACTGAAACCCCACCATATTCTACTACTAGGGTGAAAAATAAAAGAGTAATCGAACCCCTTAATCTGATTCTGAAGTCTTGTGTTTTAATTTAACACAGACAGGAAATAAATATTTTGGTCAGTTTTCCAGACAACCCTCTCCAATAACTGTTTCCAATCCAATCACATGCTGTGGGTGAGGGAATTCCATATCATGCATGTTCTTGTGTCCTCAGACAAAGTTGGCTTGCTTGGCCGACTTCCATGCTTATATCCAACTTACATCTCTATATGCTGAGAAATACTTCTCTATTCTCTCTCAAGTGATACGAGTAAAGAAATAGAGAGAAATGGGCCATGAAATGAGGATGAATTTTTTTTATTCCTATGCTTGATGTTTTCTTATACTCTTAATGACAATATTCCTCTCTTTAGCACCACCTTTGAAATGCTACATCAATTATTATTTATTTATGAAATATATCTACCTACTAACCTATAGGAACTGAGACACCAGTGGTTTTCCTTTTCATGTAGTTCCAAGGGAGCAGCTTCATAGAATCTTATGGCACAGTCCTACAATTTATGTGGTGGGCCATCTGTATCATCAACCTTTGTGACTCCTTCCCTTTCATGCATTTCTGGCTGCCTTATTAGATGATGATGATGAGCCAGCCTATTCCCATGTCTTACATTGGTCATCCCAAAAGCATGTTCTTTTTACTTTATCTCTCTCTCTCTCTCTCTCTCTCTCTCTCTCTCTCTCTCTCTCGGTATAACAAACTCAACCACACGTTCATCAGCTTGGGGAGTTTTTGATTTCTCATTCCTTTTACAAGAAAACCTCACTCTGTCTCATACGCACAATTTGTTATGCTCCCTACCAAGATATCAAAAATATTGACATCCAAAGAAAAACAACATTATAAATGATGAAGATTTTTACATGAAAAGATGTCTAGAGTTAATGAACATCAGGCCTGTGCCTATGGAGACATCTTTTCTGCATTAATTCAACACGTACAACAGGAATTTAAGTATAAGATCTGAGGTTGCGTTTATATATATACAGATGGTAATTTAGAACAGTTTCAGAGTCCTATAGGGCTATAGCTAGCTTTAGGGGAAAAAAAAAGAAAAAAAGAAACTTCAGTCTGTGACTTTCATAACTCTGATTTGCCTCTTCCATCTATATGAATATTTGATGCTGCAGCACAATTATTGCGTGCTTTTTAATCCAAGTTTCATCATATGACACAAGTCTTTTTCTTTTTCTTCTGTATTCTTTGTGGAAATTGCACTACTTTTCAAAAAAATATGTTTATAAATCAATGAATAAAGATATATTTTTATAGAAACTTCCTGCAATCGTCTATGCTTGGTATGTGATGTGAAAATTAAATCATCATTGAATTTTACTTGCGTACAAGTTTTTACATGCCTCATCCAGGTTACTGCAATTTTTATGGGTAACAAGGTAAGAAAGGTCCTCAATAATTTATGCCAAGGGCCTCAGAGTCTCGTACCTTGGTTCTACACGTGCAAACATGGGGGCACACGTGGGAGTGGGAGGGGCAGACTGGCAGAGGAAGAAGACAACAAAAGAAAGCAGAGGTGAGTGAGAGAAGGCAGGCAGATAATATGAGGGAGATATGATGATGGGAACAATATATTCTGTACACCAAGTACTGTTCATTTTTACCTGTCAATATTGAATGCCCACACACCCACACACCCACACACATGCTTTTCACTTCTCTTCCCATCTGGTCTGAAAAGTTGGAGACCAAGTGATTTATTGTTTTTTAAAAGATGTAACAAATGGGGGTTCTTTTGGATTTTAGAGAGTTTCTATTAGCCCCTCCTCTCTCATGTCCCCAGTTAATAACATTGTCTGCTAACTCATAACTAATCCTTCATGTCATCTGTAGGCTCAGACAGGAGCAAAACTTATATATCATAGCGGAACGTGATTGGATGAGAATAGCAAAACAATGTTATCCCCGTAACGTGCAAGTTCTTCTCCTAAGACAGAGGAACCCAGTTGGTAATAATGGCTATCTTAATTGAAGTTTAATATTTGAGAATGCTGTAAACTTTGTTTTAGTCATTTTATGTATACTGTTGTTATGTGGATGAATATGACAAGGCTAAAGAGAAATTTGTTTGTCTTGCAGGTTCCCAATGTGGGATATGATGACATCAAAAGAACACAGGGATCTCATAAGCATGTTCACATGCATTATATACATACATCTTAAATGCTACAGGCATGAACCTGTACAGGGAAAGGGGAGAATAGTGGCACACAAACGTGCATGAGTAATTTGGCTTTGCTGGGACCCCTGTGGTATGTATGTACAAACTGACTGGGAGAGTTTTGTAGAGGAATTGAAAAATTCAAGCAAACTCCAGATGGTGAGGACCATTCATTAATAGAATAGTAAAAAAAACCAAATGAGGGTCTAACTGATCTACTCTCTCTATCTTTTTATGAGTTGTGTATCTGTATTCTGTATGGGTTTTTGTTTTCTTTTGAATTCTCATATTATGCAGAGTCAGGATGTTCAAAGATTTTGACCCAAACTGCTCACTTCTTCAAAGCCTAGATAGTACATTCCTGTGAAAACTATGACAAACAATAAATGAAACGTCTGCAACTGGGTTTTCCAGAGAGTGAAAACTAAAAATAAGACCAAAGTTTCCTTCCATTATTTTATACATGTTAGTATTTATTGTTGATATCTGCTATTATTTCTTAGGGTAAGGGTAAGGGTAATAAGAAATGAGTCGGGTAATAAGAAATGAGTCTAGTTAGACATTAAAAGTTTAACCAATTATTCAAGGTCATTAGAAGCTTGAATTATATCTGATACAAAAAATAAAATTGATGTCTCCTCAAAGTACATGAACCCTCTATTCTAAAAGAGACAGAGAAACAGGTGGGGAGGTGGGGTTTTGAATGACGTTAAGGAAGTGGCCTTTTCGGACTGTTATAATAGTTGTGAAAGAAGGGACATGAAAATCAAAGCAAATTCATGGCCAAAGTGTTTGGTGGTGATGGTCGTTAGGTCAACTTCAGGTGGTTAACTGAAACCCAAGGTAAACAGCCTTCAACTCTAGTTAAAAAGGAGGTTTGCTGAGTGCTGCTGAAGATGGATAGAGGGCTTGCTGGCTGGCTGGCTGGCCTACCTTCTTCTTTACTAGTGTTCAACAGAAGGAGGGGCTCTTGTGTCAAAGTGCTCTTCGATCTGTGGTTTGAAAAGAAAGGAGTGTCTTAGCCCTGCACAAGCCCAAGCTAGCACACATCACATTAAGAGTCTTTCTTGTCAATCTTGAGAGAGACAGCCTTAAGCAAGAACCTTCAACTTCAACCCCATGAACATGAATGGAGAGAGAGAGAGAGAGAGAGGGAGAGAGAGAGAAAGAGAGAAGTTTCACACGTGTGAGTGATGTGGGATTTGTTAAAGAAAGAGAGAGAATAATAGTAAAATAATAGAAGGAGCTTGTTAAATTATAGGGTCAGGGTCGTCAGGGTTGTTAACTACTTAAAAGCACTTCTCTCTCTGTCTCTCTCCTCCAACTCCCTATACACAGAGTCAGTGAGATTGAGATGAGAGGCCGTGTAGTGTAGGTTTCTGAACACTATTTGCTATTTTTGCTGTTTCTAGTTTTCCTTCTTGCAACACTGCAAAACAAGTCCTTTCTCTTCCACCAGCTGTCTGTCATTTTTTTGCTATAATAATTTTTATTTCCACAGCCAATTGTTTTTCCCTATTTTCAAGGCCATTATAAGATGACTTTGTAACAGTTCGATGTAACCATTAGCATTTGTGACAAGAAAGGAAATGAAGGCATGGCAAACAATGGTGCTATATATGTAACAGAAAGCCCAAATGCCTTCAGCTGCTTCTCCTCTGCTCCCTCCTTTTCCTCTTCTTCTCCCTCTTGTTCAATGGGAATGGTTTATGCAGATATGGGCTCCCTTTCACTTAGTTCCAACTATGGCGTTGTTTCATCTGTTTCTTCTCAGGAGAGTAGCTATATCTCAAAGCTTTCTGAAGTGGAAAATGGGAGGGGGTTTTGGGGTTTTCCTCCTATGGGGAACTGCAACAACAGAAGCTCTGAGGACTACCACCACAACACTGACATTGGTGATGGTAAGGGCTCAGATAGCAGCAGTGATCACGAGAGTGGGGAAAATAATCAGACTTGTATGAATGATCAGAAAGCCAAACTAATAAACCATGAGAAGTACCCTAATGAGAATGTGGTGATTGGTGGGAAGGAAACAGAAAGTGGGCAGTCAAAACATTGTGCCAGAGGGCATTGGAGGCCTGCAGAAGATTCCAAGCTCAAGGAACTTGTCGCTCTTTATGGCCCTCAGAATTGGAACCTCATAGCAGAGAAGTTGGAAGGAAGATCAGGTAAGAAGTGAGAATTTTTTAGTCCTTTGTCCATAGGTATGCTTTCTGTTCCATTTTTTTCTTATCTCTTTTGCTTTTTAGTGTTTATTCTGATCTTTAACACATCTCTCTTTGTGTTTGTCTATGTTCAAAAGGTAAGAGCTGTAGACTAAGATGGTTTAACCAGTTGGACCCAAGGATCAACAGAAGAGCTTTTACTGAAGAAGAAGAAGATAGACTAATGCAAGCTCATAGAGTATATGGAAACAAATGGGCCATGATAGCTAGGCTCTTTCCTGGAAGAACTGATAATGCTGTCAAGAACCATTGGCATGTTATAATGGCCAGGAAGTACAGAGAACAATCCAGTGCTTACAGGAGGAGGAAGCTCAGTCAAACTGTTTACAGAAGAATGGAGGAAGATCCAAGCTTCAATGTCTCAAGGAGTACAGAGCCTCCATCTTACTGTACTCTCAATCTCCCCCCAAATGGAGGTCTCAGCAATAGCACTTTATCTCCTTTCCCATATGGAACAAGCTACAATGGTGTTGTTGGTTGTGGGGTTGACTATTATGGCTCAAATGGCTCACCCAACATGACCAGTGCGGAAGAAGAAGAAACAATCCCAAGCAAAAAAGTCCTTCCTTTCGAATTCTTCCCTGGTATGTCATTCAGGATCCCTCATTTCCTTTCTCACGATTCTTTCTGTTCGTGCATCTTTGGTTTTTGTGCTGTTTCTTTATTGGCTCCCCGTTTTACAAGTTTGCCTCATTGTCTTGTTCTTTGTTGATCCGGGGCCTCAACCTTCTATTTTCCTTTGAATAATGCAACCCTTTTTAATTGGTCACCTTTCTAGTGCCTAAAACTCTCTCTCTCGCACAAACACACAATAAGTTACAATACTTTCTCTGGCTGTGTTTTGCAGGTACCAAGAGCAATGAGGGGGTGATGGGGATGGTGAGCCAGAGCAGATCTTGGGATAGTTCAAGTGATATTGAAGGTCATTTATGTAACTTGCATCCTCACCATCAACCATACATGATGGCAATGCAACAGGCAAACTACCACAACCTTCTTCACAGTTACTCAGATTCATCAATACCAGCATCACCACGTCAAGTTTCAGCCGGCAAACCCTCACCATCAGCTGCTGCTGCTGCAGATGAGGACAGAGTTGGTGGCAGCCACCATGAGACCCTTCCACCACCATTCATTGATTTTCTTGGGGTAGGAGCCACATGAAGTTAGAAGCCAAGAAAAGCTGAAAAGGGTTTTTCACTTAATCATCAGAAAAGGGGCTCAATGTGGTTGTGGTCCAAGAAAACTATGAAGCCATTAGAGGTAAAAGAGAAAGGATTGGTGTTTTAGTTCTCGCTGACATTGAAGAATCTGCATCAGTCCCTTTAAGTCATATCCCACCATCTTTTTCTATGTACCCCCCAAACTCTCACATGAGACCCTTGCCAAAAGGTGAAACAAATAAATTACATTATTGTCACAAATTGACATGTCACATTTGTTCTCTCTCTCTCTCTCCCCCCCCCCAACATTTTCCTATGGTTTCATGTTAGGAATTCCATGGACCTCAAGAAAATGAAGATCGAATTAACTTAAGTTTTGTGTGTTTTCAAATCTTGTACTTGTTTTAAAAAAAATAATTAGGAAAAGGAGTACTTAGAATAAAATGGGGATGATGATGAAATGATGAGGCAAACGAAGACAAGAACAGAGGAATTGGAACTGTTTGGAACATCCTTTTCCCACGGGGACTGTGAAACTGAGGCACAAATTCTGCAACTGAACACCAAGCAAGCATATGTATATATCTCCCAATGCATTCATGATGGAAACTGTTAAACATGCTTTCCTCATCAGCAGAATCTTACTGGGAGAGAATTCATGCAATGCAATGCTCATGGGCTTTAGCCGTTTGGAACTGTCTTAAATAGTACTTACTATTTTGTGGGATAAGAGTCCACAACTTCTCAAGCATATTTGCTTATTTTTCTGCTGCTGAAACAAGCAACATGATGTGATAATCCAATCCACACTCAAAGCAGTCCCTATTCACAAGTCAAGGGGTGTATATAATTAATCCAATACCGTATTAACTGGTTTCACTGTACAACATAATTACACGTGAGATTCGGTATGGAAGTTTTTTTGGCCGATATCTATTGCCCAAAACAGGAAATATTGAGTAGTCCACACTCCACTAATTGTTTGAATTTGACTTGAAAACTCAACCACCTCTGTTAAAGTACAGACACGAGGTTGATAGAGGAATGCTGACTAGTCTTTGGGCCTTCATACAAGATTTCCATCTCAAGACTGTTCCTTTTCATTGAGGCTACTGTTTACTTGAGCCTGTCTTGGGCTTATTCGGCTCATCCTCATCAAACAATTTCGAAAGCTCTTATGTACTAAACCAACCTTCTCTCGATAAGGAGTTAAATTTGGTAAATTTCTTCATCCGCCAATAAAGAGTTACACCTGGTATATGTAAGTCTTCTATATTTTGATTCAAGGACAATTAGATAAAAACAAATGCGAAGCGGGTGGTGGTGTGTTGGCTGTTATAACCAATTTCAAGTTGAACTCATATACTTAGAGCGCATTTTGTGACGTTTCTTCAATTAGTTTTTAAAAAATGAATTTGTATTTTCAAGATAAGAGAATGCATCAAACAGCTTTTGAAAACATTTAAACATACATGGTTTAAATATGTGAATTAGCTAAAACCTTTAAAAATGCATTAGCTTATCCCTCATTTAAATTAAAATTCCAAAAACACAACTTCTATTAATTGTAAGATGAATTAGAAGCCAACATAGTCCATCAAACAACACTTAAAGCAAAGAGTTATAATTATACAACACATAAATAAAGGAGAAACCTCTGAAAACATTGTAACTAATCGAGGGACAAGCCATGAAATGTAAGATGAACTAGAAGCTAACATAGAGGGTGGCACAACCCAAATAGCTCTTTGAGAATTGGTGCATAGAGGGTAAGGTTGTGTGACAGTTCCGTCCTCCAAGTTGAAGATACCCATATCATATCTTTGGTCATCATTGAATGTAGGATAACCTGATATGTAATCATCAGTGTAATATATGGAATTTGACTAGCATCGAAGAAAGTTCGAAGCTAAAACAAAGATTGAATCATTGTCGCCCACAAATAGAGCCGCGTCTCCAATGCTTTTCAATTCAACCTTGTGCCTAATAGATCCATCTTCATCGTCAAACACCCACTTGTAAACCTCAAAGCCCGTAGTATGCCTATTATTATGCTTCAAAAAACCGTCTGTTAGCGCATAATTTCGTAGGATATGCAACAAGTCTCCCTTAGTTGATTCCACAAGAAATGCATGAAAACCATAATCTTGGAATGATTCTGGATGTGTGAGTAGCTTTAGCTGTGAAGAGTTTTTAATATCACTGCTACAAACACCAAATGACCAAATCGCTCCAAATTGTCTAACTGCGTATACTGATTTTTATAGAATATAACATCACCATATAAACATCCATCCTTGAGGTAAGTCCAAGAGCTTTGGCCTGCCTTGATGAAAACCAACCGGAACCAGCCATAGTAAAGTGCTACAACCACATAATTCTCCGGATTAAGAGTGGAATGATGTTGGAGAATTAAACCAAATATGCATCATTATTGCATTCAAGAAGTTTCAATATGCTATTATGTTGAGTCTTTTCTTATTCTCTGATTTAATAAGTTCATGTATTAATGAATTGAATAAACTGTCGGCTACATGAATTGATGAAAAGTCTAAGATATGAGAGTGGGTTAATCGGTTATGATAAGAGAAGTCTTTAAATAGGTCTTTTATCATTGTTATTTTGTGTGCTGAATTATAATGAAAGAGCCTATTCTTCTAAGAAACTAGTGTCCATTTGTTTTATTTTATTTCTCTTCCTCCTACAGATGAGTGGACAAGATAATCTTACGAACATAATGCTCGTAGTAGGAGCCTTCATGTTCTCTGACACGGCCTATAAGGGGAGGGAGAAGAATGGGCTTTGCTTTAGTGAAAGGGTTACTGAGTGCTATGATCAGACTTTGGTATGTTGTTGGATCTACTGTGGCCAACCAACCATGGCTAAAACCATACCTCCTCTTACTAAAAGGCACTTGCAATTCAATATTGTTGTGGATTATTCCTTCAGAAATGTTGTGCAACACCTTTCCTCGGTTGTGGATTATTCCTTCAGAACGCCATTGCTTGCAAACGGCAGCAAAACCAACATGGTCAATGGGTTCTAATAACTTATCCAGAATTAAAAAGACGAGCGTTGGAAGACTTGCCCATCCCCCACTGCTGAAGCTGACAGCCGGGGTCCTACGACAAGGTTTCTTGTTAGAGTTAAAACTGGACATGACTATAACTTTGAAACAGAAACAAAAGGCAGAACAGAGAACAAAAGAACAAGGAAAGAATTGATGATGAGAAGTGGCCTCTATATACTAACAATTGAAAACAAATTCTTTAAGAATAGGGAAACAATTAGGGACGGTTAGTAATCTAATTTTATAAACTCAAAAACAGATTTTAAGTTCAAAGTCCAAAAAACCTTATTTGGTAGGCCCATTTTTAAAATTCAAACCAAAAATAAAAAATAAAAAACACCTCATTATTAAAAATAAAAAAAGTTAAATTATACAGTTTTTTTTTAATTTCTTTATCTCTCTCTCTCTCTCTCCTCTCTCTCTCTCTCTCTCTCTCTCTCTCTCTCCTCTCTCTCCTCTCTCTCTCTCTCTCTCGTCTAGGGATGGCAAAAATTCTCGTCAGGTCCCCAACCATAAGGGGGGAGATTTCGAGGAAAAATTAGGAATGAGTATGGGATCCTAGAATTTAAAAAATCCTCGATTGGTTCCGGGACGAGGATGATATTTTATCCCCATCCCCGAACCCGTCATGATAGATGGTGGCTCTATGAAGCAGACGACAAGATCGTTAGGACGGTGGGGAAAGAGGAAAAGAAGAAGGGCAATCTTAAGGAAAAAAATCGAGGATTCGAGGCGAGTTTGGGAGTGTAGGGGCCTTTTTCTTCTGGCAGCTACAAATGGGTTGGGCTGCCGTAAGGAGCGAACTGATGAAATTATCCCCTGTGTCTAAGTTCAGAAATCAGTCCCCAAGAATGCTTCGAAAGGACAGTAGGGCCTTAGGAAACACATTGGTTACCTTCACCAACAAAAATAACAACAGCTTACAGATGAATTCTTAGTGCTTACAGGTATAATCTTAGCTTGGCATGAGAGACTTGTGGCATGAGAGCAAAGTTGTCATGAGTTTAGCCTTAAAGGGAAAGAACTGTGAGTTTCTATGAAAACAAGGGTTCTAAGGAAAAGGAGGAAAAGAGATTTTGGCTGAGAAGAGGAGAGAGGCTAGGCAATGGGCAGCTTAAGTGTTTTTCTGGCAGCTCGACAGAGGTTCTGTCAAGTATCAGAACAATCTGCCAAGGGGAAAAACAAAGGGGAGAAGGATGAACTGAGACGAAATTGCTGGGTTTTGGAGGTAAGAGAGGAAGGTTGTTTTTTGGATGTGGTTGTTCATTTGTTGGGTAAAAGATGCCTTATTTATAGCTGCTAGAAGCTATTCTTTTCCAAGAAACCCTAATGGTTTCTATCCAATTTGGCCAAGCTTTTCCCTTTCTTTCTTCTCTCCTCCCTTGACTTTCCCCATCTTAGTGAAATTCCCTTTGCCTATTTGCACAAAATCAGAGATTTTTGGGTGCTCAAGGCCTTTTCCTGCAACTGTCTCAGTGAGAGACTCTTATTCTCAGCCATTTCCCTTTTTCTTTCCTTCCTCCTTCCATGACTAGATCTGATGAAGGAAAGAAAATGGGTATACATGCTGGTTCGAAGGGTGCCTCTCCTCCTGGCAGGCTGCACGCTAAAATCCTTTGGTCATTCAGATGTTTTTTGCTTGAAACTTGTTCTTCCCCATGTGCTGGAGCCTCCCAACAGCTCTGTGCACTGGACCTCCAAGCTCCCTTCGTGGCTTCTATTTTTTAGCCAAGTGCTGAGGCTTTTGCAGGTTTTATTTTAGTTACATGGGCTTTCTAGGACAATGGGAACCAAATAATTGGGCTAACCTCACCAAGTGTTAGCCTATTTTGTTGAGATGTTAGGCTAATTTGGTTAAGTTAATTGTAACACCCCGACTCAATTTAATTTTCCAATTCAAAAGGTTAAAATTAAATTAATTGTGAAATTACGAAACTACCTTTGGGGTAGGGTATTTCGGTCATTTTCTTGTCCGGAAGGATTTTTGGGACCACAAGTGGTTTGGTTGCGTAGGTGGTTCTGAGATGAATTCGTAGACAGGCAGTAGGCTTGAATCGGAGTTATAACGAAGTTTTGGCGATGAAATTTCTTTCGGTGGCAAAATCGTAAATAATTCGAAAAGGGTATTTGTAAAATTCAGATTCTTCAATTTCATTCACTTTTCTCTCTCTCTCTCTCTCTCTCTCTCTCTCTCTCTCTCTCTCTCCCGCGAACTCTTTCTCTCGTCACTGTTCATCCGAACGGAAAAAGCCACGCCGCCATCACTTCCGGCCACCTCAGCTCTCGAGATTGGTCCCAAAAGCTTCGTCTCGACGTCCCGGTCAAGACCCAATAGCTTTCGTCGTCGGAAAACTCAAAAATAGCCGCCAGTTTCGACTGGTTCGAGCCGGACTTTTCCGATCGTTGCGCCGCCGCCTCCGCCGTCCATTTCAGGTAAAATTGGTGGGGTTTCTCTCTCTTTTTACATGTTTTAGCTGGCTGTTGCATAGGAATTGTTCAATCTGTTGTTTAGAATCCGATTTGAGAAGTTAGGTTTTTGGCCGGTTTTTAATTCGAAATTCCGGCCAGTTCCTGGTGGTTTTGGGCTTGGCCGTAGTTGAATGAAGTGCTCCCCTGGTTGAGTAGGACCTGTAGCCGGGAGGGTGACTTGTGATTTGGAGATTTTCCGTCGCCGGAATTTCTCTGCACACCCGCTTGCTGCCGGCGCGTGGGCAAGTGTGGTGGAGCTGCAAACTGTTCCAATGTGATCTTTAAGTTGTCACGAGCGCGTAGGATTTCGTGGATCTCGATTCCGAGGTCATTTGACTATTGAACGGATTATCACATATTGTGCGTTATTCGGGTTCAATATGTTCTGACCGTTGGATCGTTTTCAAATTGAAGTATGTTCCTCTGGATACCCGTAGGATCGTGTAGGATTCGACGGATCGTAAAACGGAGTCCCGGATACTCCGGAAATGCCAACCCTAGGGTGAGGGTTTCAGTAACTGTCAAATCGTGCGATCGTGAGCGGTCTAACTGTCCGTTTCGGACCAAACTTACAGGACGTGTATCCTAGACCTCGTAAAACCTATAGGAACTCCCGGGAAGCTAGGGTTTTATTTTAAAGTTCTGTTTTGAAGTGCTTGATATTCATCGCATTTTCGTATTCTGAATCAGATACTCCGACCCAGCATACGCAGCAGGCGGGACCCTCTAAGGGTCCAGCTGTGTGGGATTACTTGTGAGTGGACTTTTCTTTTGAAACTCAGTATGATTTTATTCATGGAAATATGACTTATTGTTTTATTATGTCTATTAATTATTTATATACGCTCGAATGGGAATTCGAGGTTTTCATAAAACTTATATTAATATTTGAATTTTGAGAAGCTATATTACATGCGGCTATGCATGGGGTACTTGGTGGTTAATATGAACTATGGAAAGGTAATGTTGGATCTGTTATTTGGAGTGCGTTAAGCACTAATTTATGTACCTCCCCTGATCTAAATTTGGTTACGAACATTGGATACTTTTGGAGTTATTAGAACTCAGGACATCCTTGAGGGGATGTTGCTGTGGACCCTGGATTTGGGGTAGTCTGCGCGCGTAGGACTGGTATTTCAGGCGTACAAGTTTTGACTGTGTCGGCTGTACGTGCTGGCTGAGAGTTAGTCCCCCAGTTGGACGGCTCGTTCCCTAGACACATGGTGAATTGAGGAATTGCTCTGCCATGTGGCCTAGTCAAACAGTCCCCCGGTTGGATTGTTTCCCCGGTACAATTAAATATTGGTTATCTTTATATACTATTATTATTATTATTATTATTATTATTATTATGTTATATCATATTATTATTATGTATGTATATGTGTATATATATATATATATATATGAATGTTCCTTCGTTCTATTTTTCGGTAAGGATACTTCCTCGCCGATCGTACCTTTGAGTACGTTTAAGAGAGTCTAATCTCTCGGGACTCTTAAGTTGAGTGGTGGGTCTCGTGAAGCATTATTCACGAATTACGGATTTGAGATCCGGTATATATCTACTTTGTTTTCGCCTGAACTGAACTTGATTTTTGTCCACTCACAACTTTTTGTTTTGCGCCCCCCAGCCAGTAGCAACTGAGCTCTGCAGTTGAGCCGGACCGGGTGCATCTTGGAACTCGAGTCTTCGTAGAGACTCTTGGTGCTTTTTCCTTTCAGTTAAACGGTACTTCGGTTGTATTTTGAATTCCTTAGATATGCTCTGTATCGCCCGCTGAGGGTTTAACTTTGTGAGGCCGGAGGCCTTTGTTGTAAATTGTTTTATTGCTTGTAAAGCATGCTGCCAGTTGGTTGTAATTAACTGTAAATTTTGAACATGTTGAAGTTTGGAAATGTTCAATTTACAGGGGAGACTCTGCCAAATTTTTGGTAGGAAGTCTCAATCTTTAGTAAGTGGGCCCGACATCGGGTTGATGTCGGTAATTAGGCGGGGTCCGTCCCAGATTCCGAGGAAATTCGGGGCGGGTCTTGTCATTAATGGGCTATTTTGGCTGAGGTAATGGACTATTTTCTCTTTTGTGTTTACCCACATGTTTGGGCCTAAGAAATAAGCTTGAGTTCCGAGGCTCTCAAGTGACCCAGAATCTCCATTTCTCGGCCCATCAATGAGCCTCATAACAACTTATTACCATCCATACCACAATCCACTCAAGCAAGTCTCAGGCATTTGAGTGACTTGGACCCACTTAGGCTTGTAGCATGGTTGGGGTGGGAAATAATGATTTCCCGCTTGGCGTGACATGTTTTTTATCATGATACTTGATGGGGTAATTAGCATGGGCTCGTAGAGCTAGTGTATTTTATGATATTTATCTCAATCCTTAGCATGACGGATTATTTATTTGGCATGGCTCGTGGACTGTGACTCATGCATGGTAGACCCTCGTGTGCTCTAAATAGGGTCTTTTCTTAATAAGACATTGCGTTGGACCGGAAATTCATTTGGGTCGAACCGTGGATTTTTTGGGCCTCAACAAGGAGAAAGCTCCCCAACGGGAACGGGGATTCCCCGAAAATTATTATCCTGGATGGGGGCCGGGCCGGGGATGGTATTTCCATACCCGGTCCCAAATCAACCTGTTGACATCCCTACTCTTATCGCTCTCTTCTCTCTCTCTCTCTCTCTCTCTCTCTCTCTCTCTCTCTCTCTCTCTCGTATGGCATCCAATTGGGTTCGTCTTTGCGAACCAATAACCACCGAAGCTAGTTCAAGCGGTGTCGGGGAGTTGTTGCACACCACCAAAATTGATAGGGTTTATGCCTCACATCTTTTTCATTTTCTTTTGTTAATTTCAATTTGGGGATTAAGGTTCCTGATTTTTTATTATTATTATTTATTTTTAGTTTTAGATCTTAAAAATAGTTTGGAGTTCAATACCAAACAAGTTTTTAGATCATAAAATCACAATTTGAAAACTCATGTTTTAAAAAAGAATCATAAATTTTTAGTTTACTTTTTTGAGTAGGATGCCAAACATGGCCTTCTTTTCCAAGGACAACAAGAAAATAATAAGATGAATATCTAAAATTCCAATAAATATTCTTTTTTATTCTTTTATAAGGAAATAGAAAAGTTGATATAAATCCAAATTCCTATTGAAGAGTTGGATTTAGTCATCGGATTTGGTGACTTTGATCCAAGTCTTTTGACTTTTGTGCCATATAAAATTACATTCATTCTTTAATATTTTATAATGTAATCTTTTTATTATTTTAGTTTTAAAATCATTTTTTGTTCCAATGTTGCCCCTTATGACTTGAATCGAGTAATAGTCATTTATGTCATATTGCCTATTGCATAAGTATATATATGTTTTTTTTTCTTCATATTTTCAACACTGTGTTATGTACCTTTATTTTATTTTATTTATTTATTTATAGGTAATATACAATTTTATTTTGTCTATTTTTGTATCTAACTTATAGGTAGTCTTCTAATTTATGTTCATATCATTAAGTATTTCTCATTGCTAATAATAACATTATTTACCTGTATATCGATTGGTATAATATGTGGGTCTTTACTTTTTATTAATTAAATTATATTTTATCCATATAATAGGAATATTATCAACGAAAGAATTCAACATTTAAATTATGGAATTCAATTATAGGGAAATAATGCATAAAATTTAGATTTTCAATGTGTTTCCTTTATTTACCTCAAAGGGTAAAATCAACACAACAGAAAAAGTAATTAATGTCAAAGGACCTATATATAAAACCAAAAAAGCGAGGACTAAATCCAATGATATCTAATCATTTTGGACATAGATCTAAAGCTCATAAGGAAATACACAAAATACCGACTCTAAAATAACAGGAATTAATTAAGATGTCAACAAAAGCTGTTCTCCATATGTTTCACAAACTCATCAAAATCAATCACTCCATCTTGGTTCATATCTGCTGCATTAATCATCCTCTGGCATTCGTCCAATCCGAATGCATCCTTGAAACCGAAATTGCTTAAAACTCTTTGTACCTCTGCTGCATCTATAAACCCATCTCTGTTCTCATCAAACACATCAAAGGCTTCCTTTACCTCCTCCAAGCTGGGCTTCTCCTCATCAAACAGTCTCCAAAGCTCCTCTGCGCCAACCCTCTCTCCAATATTGTCTTCCTCTGCCTCATGTTCATAACACATTCCTAGCCGGCCCATCACCATATCTACTTCTTCTCTGCTTAGTTCTGTTTCATCGTGTGCCTTGTTGTTGCCAAAGAGAGGCTCATGCGTTGGTGGTAATTCAGAACTAAGGCTCTGTGTTTTGGTCCAAACCTTCCATCTGGTGGAGACAAATTTCACAAGGGGTTGGAGAAAGTTCTGTATGTCCTCCATAGATAAGTTGATAATATTAATGCAGAGAAAAAATATGGGGCTTTGTATCGTAAGTACAACCAAGGCTTCGACACTGTTATATTGATGAGAAAAAGCAATTGCCTTGTGTTTGAAGCGTCAACGTCTTTAACTTCTGTGTCAAGTCACCACCAATTTTCCTGGAAGACGATGGATGAATGCACTAGAATTAATTAGAGAGGACAGACTTAAATAGAAAAGCCACTCCTATTCCTAGTAGGAAAAGGACTAGGACTAGAGACTTCCTAAGAGAAAGAGGTTTTATCTTTTAATAAGGTTTAATTTTCAAACGAAGATTGATGATGGTTCCTCCAGTCCAGACCAAACCTTCTTTCTACTGGTTTCCTCATAGGTCATGCAAAGAAAAAAAAACAGCTTCCAAGCCAAGCTAAGGGTTCACATCACATTCATCCGTATATAATTATTATAGTTTTCTCCAAAGTGCTTCTTGGTTTTTGGAAGTTCCCAAAACTTGACATGTGAGTGCGAGACCGACCGTTACGTCTCCTGGGGAATTCCAAAAACATTCTGAAACGTCCAGGAAATTGGGAGGGGCAACCTTTTTTTTACTTTCTTGTGTGTAAGAAACAATGCAGTTTACACCAATGACTTTATGCTCATAATTTACATCATCATAATAATTCGCAAGAGGTCCCCTCCCCTTGTAGACTCGTGTTGTGGCACTTTGGAGGCCTTCTGAGGGCCTATATATGTCCAATTTCCTCAACTTCAGATCCTTTCTGTTTGTTCCGGGATCTTTCCGACCCAAACGAAACAAATTTCCAACTTAATGGATTATGGACTTTTCATTGGCTTGATTTCTAAGACCGAAGAAAAGAATCCTAAGAAAACAAAGGCAACCCAATTGAGTTGAGTTTGTTGATATGTCACCCATGGATAAAGCAGAGGCAAGGTCTTAAGGTGTGCTAGATAATTCGGGCCCAACTTCAAACTCGGTTCGGGCTTGAAAGCTTTGAAGCCCAGCATTGTTATTAATTTCTCCTGGTTTTCAGTATTTCCACTCTCAATTTGTAAATGGTAACTAATTAATTACAAAATGTGTAATCTTAAGAACAAATAATAACAGTAATTAATAAGCAGACGTGGACTTAGTCAAGTTGGTCAAAGTGGATGTGCTCCCTATTTTGCACCGGAGTTCGAATTTCCCTCTTTGTAATTTAAATTAGATTGAAGTACAATATTGTCTTTATAAAAAAATGAAGACTGACTAGCCTTTTTAAGTTTTGATTTATCTAGAGTGAATGTTGTTACATCTCTTATGTTTATAATGTTGTTTTTTATATCTTCAGTTGGAGTCTTTTCCCACTACCTAAAATAAGAAAAGTAGATGTATGGTAACAAGCAATCAAAGTTCCATCGAGCTTTTGGTTTTTGGATGGAACTCCAAAAGGTGCATTTCCCCCACTTTTCCCATGAAAGGAACCTTTCTTCTGAAACATCTTCCAAGCACTTACTCTCCAACATAATTTAGTGGAAATAATATGATAGGTTTCATCATGTCAGTCAATCATCCATCCATCCCAAATGAACCTTGTCATACAAAGTCATGCCATAAACTAAAATTCAACATCTCATGATAAAATCGCGCCCACAATTTCACCTAGGGCACAACACAGGAACTCTCACCTAATAAGGAGGCATGATGCATCATCAAAAACGACATGTCAGACTCATGTGCATTTACAAAATAAAAAATAAAAAAATAAAACGAAGGCAAGTGGGTTTTGGTGGTGTATTTGGAAACTCAAAGATGGAAATGTGTTGGAGATTAATTGGAGTTGTTCTAACTAGGTTTTGAATTGAAGTCCTTATCAATGTATAAATGTAACACCTTAAAGCTTAAGCTTTCCGGAAGGATAGAGTCTTTTAATGATATATTGCTAGGCATGCATGCCACATATTAAGATAACATTGAAAAGATTGACATAGTACACATTATTAAGAATTAAAAGCTCTTTTAACGGAAAAAAGTTTGACTTGGCTTTTCCTCACTACTTTTTTTTCTTTCTTTAAAGAAGAACACATTTTTCTTAATTGTCTTTTTCTTACGAAAACAATTTTGGACAAGGACTAAGTAAGGTTGTTCATACGTCTGGGAGAACTTTTCTATTCAAACAAACATAAAAAAATGAAAAAAAAATTGTTTTCAACTCAGGCAACCTTTTTTCATATTATCTTGTATCTATATGTATAAAGCAAAAGGTTGGTGAAATATTTAAAGTACCAGAAAATATCATTGGGTAATGCAAATATGAAGAATTGAAATTATTAATTAGATGAGGATAATATGGTAAATTCATATTTTTCATATTATAAAAATTAAAAATTAAAAACAAAATCATATAATAAGTCCTATTTTTATGAAACACAACTATCCATTATCTTTTTTAATTCTAAAAAAGAAAAAAAAAGAAAAAGAAAAACCAATTGGCACATAATAATGAAAAAATCATACGAAAACCAATAAAGGGCATAATAATGAGCAAGGTTTGATGTTAACATACTTTGGCTAATTCTCTAATTCAACATATAAAGACGTAATGAAAAATCATACGAAAACCAATAAAGAGCATAATAATGAGCAAGGTTTGATGTTAACTTTACTTTGTTTGCTTGAAAGGTTGGATGTTAGAATGCAACAGATGAGGACCACATGAGTTTTCATGGATATTCGGATGAATGTCACATATATTACTGACCGATAAATGCTAAAATCAGGATATTATGATTTTCTTTTGTTCTTGTTTCTTAGTATGTGATAAATACTTACACAAATTTTCTTATGTGTAGACGTCCAGATGTTATTATTGTGCATACGTCATTTATTTTCTATTATCCCTCCATACTTTCCTTCTTGTCTATAATAACGTCCACATGATAATAAGTTCATTTCAACGTCGGCATAAGAATATATATGTGAAAATTCTGAATTTTTTATGTTGGAATCACGTGCATGGGTCCCATAACAACTAATTTTGTGGAGAAATTGTGGGCTGCTAGTGACAACAAAGACAAGGAAATATCTGAATGTTGCTGTTGGAGGATGGATGAGAGACGCATGCATAAATGGAGTGTGATTTTGAAATATTATCCAAGAAAGTGAGATAGCTAGAAAAAGGAAAAGCCACTTTTTGTGTTTGTGGATATACTTGGCTCAGAGTGATTACACTTTTTGGTATTTTACAAATTTGGATTCGTTTGTTTTTGAAAGAGATAGATGCCTCGCGTATTGACACTAGTTCAAAGCTTATCTCCATCCACAATTGGGGGCCTACAACAAAGACTTTTTTTCATATAATATCTTTTGAATCCTCAGTTTTCTAAACTATTTCCCCACTAGCTTTCTTACATTTTAAAATTCTAAACACTGAAAATAGAAAATCTATGTCATTGCAATCTCCTTGGTTTGGTCAAAAACGAAACAAGAGAGACACATGTTCCATTGTAGCAGCTACAGAAAGCATCTGAGAAAAATGAAGTTTATTCAACAAATGTTGGAATTTGATGCTTCTTTTTATTAGCTATCTTATGCTACCTCACATAAATATGTATACAAACACTCGCTGCACCATCTACCTAAGGTGAAAATAAAAAAGACCTGTCCATAATGTTACACAGAGATTTAACCCAAAAAAAGAAGTCTATATCATCTAGTCAGAAACAGCTTCGCTCTCCTACAAAGTGATTATCGGTTGTATGCTGTAACTTCTAGGAAAGAAGTTCCAGCACCAAGGGTGATCAACAATATTGGCTTACGGTAAAATTTGTCAGCAGCAAAAGTTGGCAGGGAGGTAAACTCCCTTCCATCACCTTGTGAAAGTTTACAACTCTAACTTCAGCTGTGATCATGTTCTCTCATGGAAGTTGAGTGACCGGGACAAGGCTGCAGGATTGGCTTGCAACACTGGTGATGCTTCTACCTCGTGATTTTTCTCGTCTCCCTTTGATTGAAATGCCCGGAAGAGACCTCCCTCATTAGTACAATTTCCCTTTTCATTCTTAATGCCTAATGTTGCCCATATGGAGCTCTTTGCTGCTTCACTTGGATCATCAATCCTTAATGTTTTTGGAATCCAAACACATCTATCTGAAGTGTTGTTCTTCGCGTGATCTTCGTTCTGGGAGCTGGCTGCATTAAGAATGTCCCCATCTCTCGAATGTTTCCCTAATGTTGGGGAATTTGGACCGGAGCTTGTAGCACAGTGGCTAAGAGTAGAGGATGGTGAGGAGAGACTTGGTAAATTCCAAGGGTCCGGTACAGTGCAACCCCAATATGGTGGTGCAGGGTAGAATGATATTGGAAAGCCTGAATGGCAGAAAGGAGGTGGAGGCATTCCAGAGGGCCACTGAGCTGAGTTCCATGGATAAGGCCAAGGGGAGCCTGGAAAGCATGGTACTTGAGGAGGGAAGCTTTGACAGCTTTTAATCGCTGGCTCTTGTAAACCAACTTTACCTCCCCTCTCTGATGAATTTGAAGCTGTAACAGAAGATCCACTTGAGTGGGCATCCCTATTATCTCCTGGTATGGAAGAAACCCCAATTCTTTGTTCAGGCCTATGGAACCCACTTTGAGTACAATTTTGTGCTTGCTCTGCAAGGTTCAATACAGAAGCCATTGATTCACAAAGAGGAGAATCCGAACCAAAGGTCAGGACAGTACCATTGCTTCCCAAAGTAGTGTTGTGTGCACCATTTGCAGCACTAGCACGAGCTGTTTGCAGAGCATCTGACATTAACATGTGACGATATTGTGAAGCTGAAGAGTTTTTATTCTTGCGACGACCAGCACCCACAGGCACATTCCTCATGATTCCTCCAGCAGTCCAGTATCTCTGACAGTTCTTGCAGAAATGGCGAGGCTGGTTGACATTGTAATTATTATAATAACAGAACTTGGTGTCCATGCTATTACATCGAGGACATGGAAGTATCTTGTCTGGCTTCTTTAGAGTCTTTTCTTGTGAGCAACTGGCCTCACTCTGGTCTCCATTATTAGAGGATTTCAGAGATGAAGTTTCTCTATCAACTGATGGCGTTTTAGGATTCTCGCTAATTCCAGATGATGCTGTAGGAGCTTTTAAGTCTTCTGTGATTTGATCTGAGGTATCATCTTCCTGCTTCTCGGCTGTGAGTTCCTTCTCTGATATTGTTTCCTAATATTTCAAACAAAAAGGTCTGATCAGAAAAGTGCTGCAGCTGTTTTTTCAGTAAATTGAAACAAAAATATGTAGGGAAACTCTGAACTAGACTTAAAAACATAAAGAACTAGAGAAGAACAAAAGTAGATAAAAAATCTCATCTGATGTATAATCTCACACGCTAATACATTGATTTATGAAACTTTGTAGATAGCCATTTTAGATAGCAATCAGCTTTCATGTTTCGATACATATAAGCTATTATTATTATTCAGAAAATTTACCATTTACTAACACATCAAGGGGAATTAAAAGTAGATAAGAAGGGAGCCAAAGAAAAGAAAAGGAGTTGTTATAGAAGACTGAGCAAAACAGAAAAGTTTGTTCAGAAAGAAAAGGTAGAACAGGCTTGTGGGGAAAACATTTATATCACTGCAGAAAAACCAAAAGCACATCTGGGAATTATCAGAAGCTGTTGAACTGACAAGAGTAATTCAATCCTGACCAAAATGAAGAAAATTCTAGAAAACGCTTTTCTCTTCTCTCTAAATTTTTTGCCAGCCATGTCAATCTACAAATTGGACATAAATGGATAAATGCTTCTGAGAAAAAACAGAGTAAGCAAATCAATCCATGGAAAAAGTCCCATAACCAAAAGCATAATTACTGCTAAAGTGCAGTGTTAAAAAGTTAAGCTTTTTCTAATCCATGCTTTCTGGTTCCCTCTCCAAACCATTAAAACAGCTTTTAATCCTCAACGAGAACTTAATGATTAAAATGTTAACCAAAAAAGCTTAAAACTTGTGCAACTAATCATATTGAAAAAGAACCCAATTTTGGAAAACTTGAACAGAATCAAACTAAACCCAGAAAAAGACTCGTAAATCCCACACATCCTTGAAATATAGCATCCGAATATCATGACGTAATCCTCAAGTCCCACAATGACCATAAAATAGACAACCTCGAGATAACCAAGAGGACAAAAAAAAACAAGAATAACACTGGCCAAATTGACAATCTTGATTACAGAATTACAAACAATCAGGGATGATTAAGTATTTCAATTGTGAGATCAGATCCCAAAATCACAAACTCCATAGAAAAATCAACCCATTTACAATTCTGAGCTTCTGATAAATGATGGGTTGTTCTCAGAATATAAAAAAAGCAGCGACTTTTCATAGAAAATAATTGAAACTCAAACATACCTTGTCCACTCTCGTTGAGTTCCCTTCAAGCGAATTAGTAGTGGCTGAAGAAGAAAGCTTTTGCTTGTCATCAGAACAGTCTTCAACACCACCACCACAAGCAGTGGCAGCAATATCAGAATCAACAGTTCCACAAGACTCATCAATGGCGGAAGAAGCCTCATGGTTCAGTGGCGCTAAAGCCAAAGGTATGGTCTTTCCAAAGAGCTTTATCGTGGGGCCTTCACTCTCGGAAGACATTCTAGTAATTTTGATTAAAACCCAATAAAAGAGTCTCTCTTTGTGTTTCAAACGAAGAAAGACACAAAGACAGAGAGTTCCAAGTGTATTGGGTGTCTGCGTATGTTGTTGTAGATGGTGTGGTTTTTGAGTTTGATCGAGGAGGATGGAGGGGGGAGGAAGAGGAGTTTAGAGAAGAGAAGGGTGAAATGGTAGTGGGGTTTAACGAGGTGGGGAATGCCACATCATCAAAGGGGGAGATTTGTGAGCCACAAGTTGTATGTGGCCTTTGAGATCTTTCGCGCTGTTGGATTCCCCCACATTTCTTCAAAAGATAGTGCTTTCTTTTGTCCTCTCTTTTTTCCCTTCCATGTCAGCAAACACCCCCCTCCCCCTCCATTTCACCCTCTTTCCCCCCACAATTACTCCTTTCTCTTTCGCCTTCACCTGCCCGCCTTCTCCAAACTTAAATAATTTACAACATAATAAATTGTTTGGATAAGTACTCTTGAAATTCTTTTTGTTAGTTGCAAAAGGAGAAGAACTTTTTCAAATCCCTATACAATTACACTACGTGTCATGCTTTCGTAGAAGAAGAGCGAGACTAGTAAATACTTACTATTAATTATGAAAGTTTGATGTCAAACTTCCCGATAAAATTTTGTTAGTTACTAAAGAAGAACTTTTTCAAATCCCTTTACAGTTATACTGTGTGTTAGATTTTCGTAGAAGACAGTAAGACTCATAAATACTTACTATTAATTGTGGAATTTTGATGTCGAGATTCCCTGAAAAATGAACGAGACTTATAAATACTTACTATGACTAGTAAGTAATGAGCTTTGTCAATTTGGAAAGTAATTTAATAAAAGCATTCTCTACTAAACTTACCAAACTTATTAATTTAATAGTATTTCTCTCTTGAAAAATGGGTTTAGGGAATATGAAAAATGTAGGCAAATTGTAAATGATATGGAAACGTGCAAGTTAGCATGTTTGAATTTGGTTTGATAAAATAATAGTATGGATATATTTTTCTATTCTAAAAAGTACGAAGGAAAGGAAATGTCTATGAAATTCTACGCACATACTTTGTCTTTGGAAAAACAATTGGTATCAAACACTTTCCGACACTTGAAAAAGAATTAGCCTGTAAAATTACTTCTTTTCCTTTCCGAAAATTGTCCTAGTTTATTCTTTTAAATTTTTTTTAATTGTTTTATTTTCGTTAAATTATTGTGTAGCTTTTTGGAGCAGAGCAACGCCTGAATTGCCTTTCCCAGCTGTGGAAGTTATTGGGTGTGTATGTGAAAAAGGTCGCTTGAAGTAGAAAACACGTGGCCGGTGGACCCGCGTTGGACATTGAAAAGTTGGGAGGTTGGGGTGGCCCACCTGCAAAAAGCGTGCTGAAAAGGTCATCTGGTCATCACCGCCGTTCATTCCGTAGTTCCAAGCTGATGGCACTTTCTCTCTCAGTCTGTCGACACAGAAAATCCTCTTCTTGTTTGTGGCTCTCCAAATTTGTAATAGAGCCTTCTTTTTTCAGTTAACAAAATTGTATTATTTGGTTTTGATGCCGTCATATATTTATTTATTACATCATTTAGCACAATTATTCTGTTACGTGGGATGTAATCATCTGTGGCATTTGCGTTGTCAGAGCACTTGGAATGAAACTCTTGTAGATATGGTTTGTCAATTTCCCAACACTTTGACCAAAATTAATTAAAATCTTTCAGCTATAAAACGACGTAGTTTGGAATTGCCTCCATTTTATTAATGCATTGGGCTCGTTTTGATTTTTATAATAATTTTTTTTGTTTGTTTTCGATATAAAAATTAAAATTTACATAGAATTCTAAAACGACATAATTTAGCACCAAAATGGAGCTTTGAGATATTTCTTTTTTTTTTGTTGTTGTCAAGAAAAAGTTCCATTACTTGCAAACACACCATTAGAAAAAGCACAAAGACAAAGACACATAAGGAAATACATAGTTTGTGTAAAATTACATTATATTATTTGTGGTTGCCATTTTACAGAGATGCATTGAATCCTATACCAATATATTATTATATTATTATTATATTTGAAGTAGTGGCTGGCTCAGTGTACAGGTGGAATTATGGGGGTCAAGTGAATTTGAACTACCTTTTAGGCTTTTACGCAATTATAGCATTTTTATGAAGGTGATAGAAGGATGTCATCATCCTCTTTACGCAAAGCAAGCACACTGTTTTCTTACTTTTTTAATTTTTATTTTTCAAACAAAAGAAATACAACTCGACTTTTAGACTAGAGGTCTTAAGTTTGAATTCTCATATCATATAATTTACACTTTTGCTTATACTCAAAAAAGAAAAAACTTACTGCAACTTGTTCTGTTGGCCGACATAAACGATTGCATCCAATCCAAGTACGAAAAGTCAAAATCTCTTTTGCTTGGCAATTCAAAGTCTCCATCTTTCTCCAATAGAGATATATATATATATATATATATTATCTTCGACAACATAAGTTGTTCTACTTTTAATTGGGTTCTTTGTTTTTCAAAGATATTGAAAATATTAACAGATGAGATGATTTTGGACTTCAAAATTTTCCTGCTAGACTTTCACTCATTTGGCAATGGATGGTTGGACTTGGGATTTTTCTCTTCTAATACAGTCCGTTATCAAAAACAAAACTAAAAATAAAAGGAAAGCATGGCTACAATTTGATCTGTTGGCATGGCAGAGATAGCTGTGATGAGATGGGATCACGCTTTATGTACCACATATTTGACTTTCCCTCCAGTTTAAATGGAAATGCAGATTTGACAAATTGCTAGTAAAAGTCAGGTAGGCTAGAGACTTCGAGAATATTGTTGGTGTACGCAAACCACTCAGAGTTTAGAGACAACAAATATCAAAACCTTGTAGGTAGGTCCGGGATGGACGGCTCACACACAACACTATCTCATCTAATTAAGGCTTTCTTCTTTTAGCTAAATTGATGTCTCTTTTTACATGCAACATGAAAGTTGAGATAAACACAGACGATTTTATACACTAATTATTCAGATATGATTTTTTTTTACCCCATTTATGAACCCCAAGTAATATGATTTCTTTATGTTTCTTTTCTATTAATAAAATTATGATAAGGGGACGGATAGGGCTCTCGGAATGTGTTGGTCTATGTTTGTGCACCTTCACCCTGGCTAAAGCAGGCGAAGATGACGGCATTTGAAGACAGGCATTTCCTTCCTTCAATTTGTTGGCACATTTGGAACTTGGGAACTCCCCGAGAACCACTGCAACCATAAAGCCTTAAACTTTTTAGGTATCGCAAAACCAATTCCTTTCCTTTTACTTGTTTGAAAGTGTTTTGTGTCTCTGGTTAATGAATTCTCTGTTCTAAACTGATCATGGGTTTCTTGCAATTGTTGTGCTTCCTTTGTATATAAGATGGTGGAAATGGAATTTATAATTCTGCTTTTAGTCAAAGTGAATATTAGAAATTACTGCTCCTTATGCAACATGTTTAGAAAAAAGAAAAACACAACTTTTATTTTGTTACTAAAAAAAGTTTCTTTTATATTTCAACAGTCTACTCTGTTATGTTTTCCTCAGAAGAATTACAGAGATTACAACTTACGTATTTGCTTTTTATGTTTAAAATTTGTAAACTCAACTTGTGCATCTGTAATGGCAACATCATCACCAAGCATATTGGTTTATATCTTGGAGATTAGTTCATATCTTGCATAGTTTTTGTTAGATTGAACATGTTAACAGTGAGGAAACAGATTTGGTATTCACCCCTGGGGTATACAGCATTACAGATATAATCATGACCATAAAACTTTATCTCAAACCCATTAGATTTCCAGATTCCATTGGTGTATTTAGTCTTAAAATAAAGCTTATATTAAAAATGAACTTTCTAAGTGGTGTTGTTCTCCTATAATGTGAGATCACCTATTGGATTGTGACCTTTTAGGTGGCCTAAGTAGAGTTCGATTTCAATATGCCTATTGTTGATGCTAAAAAATGGTCTGACACTTCTGGGTCCAACTTAGTGATGTTGTCAGCTTCGGTCTTGTATGAGCTTTGGTAGAGTGATCGATCTTAAATTAGAATATGTATGGAGTGAATAGTAATTTGGACAGAGTATTGGCAAGATACCGAATGTCGCAGTTACCTCATTTTTGGGACTTGTGCCCATTCTTATAGATTTTGGGAGGTGTGCATCTTAAGTGAAATTTCGACGTGGGACTGTGGACATTTTCTAAGGTGGCTGCACATCTACTTGTGAGAAATATTGGATGGAATGAGTCGTTTGCTATGCGATCGGCAATCATGGGTGTCGAGTGCTCTCCCTGACGATGGTGATTTGTAGGTCACAATCGACTATGACTTTTTGGTGGGTCATATCCGTGGGTCCCTTATTTTCACGTGTGGTCTTCTCATTGGTTGGTCAAATACGGTGTAAATAGGAGTCCCCCAAGTTTCCAATTGAGAAAATCATCTTTGTTGAGGACTTGCTTTTATCTTCAGTATTCTGACCAACCGAAGCTTGTTATGAGAGGTTAATCGGTACAAGGTGCTATGATAACGTTGGCGTTCCAAATGGTACTCCCATGGAATAAGAAGTATGAGCGCCTATTAGTAACATTGGCGTTCCAAACGGTACTCCCATGGGCAAAGAAGTCTGAGAGCCTATTGGTAACGTTGATGTTCTGATCGGTATCATATGCCTAGTTACCCATGGTCATCAGAGTCCGTGTGCCGAACGGTAATGATGATGTTCCAAACGGTGTCGCATGCCTGGCTTGCTCATGGGTCATAGAAGTCTGTGTGCCGAACAGTAATGATGATGCTCCGAATGGCATGGTAGATTCTTTTGCGCCTAAAAGTTTTATTAGGGCGACATGACGCTTAGTCTTCTGCGAGTGGCGTGCGCTCCTGGGGGCATGATTGAGGTCATAATATGACACTTAGTCTTATGTGTGTGGCGTGCAAGTAGTTTCCCATTCTACTGGTGCCACGTGTCGGGAGCACGCATGTTGAATGAAGTAATTATGGCTTTTGTTGGTGTTATCGAGATGAGCTTGTTGGTCCTTTAGTATAAAAAGAGGTGTTTTGGATTTTGGAAACTCACTTTAATGTTTTGAGAGCCATTTTCAAATTTGTGAAGACGTGATTTTCGGCTAGTGTTTTTCGGCGAAGAAATGATTTTCGGCAATTGAGTATACAACATAGCGATTTCCAGCGACCTCCTTCACTACAAAAAAACAAGGGAAGTTGCTATTTGCTTGGTCTTTTCCGATTAAACGTACCTTTTGGCCCGAACTAGACTATGAGCACGTATGATCATGACAAACTTTTGGTAGTCTAGTAGCCATAAGTGGTGATAGCCATAGGATTCCTTAGTTTGATCTTTCCATGGCATTTAGTTTCCCTTTCTTTTTCTATTTGTAGATGTTTGATAGCGAGTCACCATTTGAGAGAGAACCTAACGTGTTCGATGGAGAATTATTGAACGATAGGCAGGATACCAATAGTGAGGTACTGGATCTTGACAGTGCTGAAAGTGAGGATACCGATGACGGAGGACCCGATCTTGAGGTCATCGATGAAAGGCTGAGGTTGCGCCTTTGATAGGCAGGGGCAACGTACGACCAACATATGGGGTGATGCCGTTGGCAACGATTTGGTGCGGCATTAAGTGTGCCAGCACAAGCCAATAGTACGAATTCCTGATGAGGGATACAGGGGTGCCGGATCGTCATGGGGAAGCTGCTGTCAAATCATCTTCGAGGCCAATTGTTACCACGGTTCAACAAGGGAATTCTAGAGTACCGATGGGGTAGCTGAAGGGGGTACTATTCGGGATTTATTATTTAGACTTGAACAAGATTACCGAGAGAGAGTTGGCCAATTGCCTCCAGGCCTCTGTTTGAAGGCACTTTGTGAGGGCCATCAGGACTTCTTAGAAGTCATGGAGGAATCAACGGGTGCTTGTGTTTGGCAATTGGGAGTCCCCCCCTGATAAGCCCGTTCGATTCCACATCCCCACTACTTTCCAATCAACCGGTAGGTTATTAGATAGCTATTCGGTAGGTTATACCCCTTGCTTTTTTGCCAAAATTAATATGACTTCTTTTGTTTTGCAGTTAAATTGAAGCAGCCAATCCCTACCGAGGACATTAAGAAGGTCGATTGGATGATGACGAAAGTTCCAGCTACCGTTTGAATCTAACGGATCTTCTCGTTACCCCAAATTTGGTGAAGGGTAAGCTCGTGGGTGAAGAAAAAATTGAGTATTTGCCATTATCATTTGGTAGTTATTACTTTTATTATAATATGCCTTACCGAATGTTTCTTTCTTTGTAGTGACGAAAGCTAGAGCAATGTAAGAGTCGTCCCAGAGATGGCTTATGATGGAGAACCAGGCTAGGCAGCAGGAGCGCCAACCGAAGGGTAGTAGCTCGGCCCAAAAGAAAACGGCAGAGCTATCAAAGTCTGATAGCTGCCACTTGAGAGGCTTATCAGCAGGTCACCAGCAAGCGGTTTGCCATCATCGATATAGATATGGCATTGCTACCGAAAAAACCTTGGGTGCTAGACCACCTGCAGGCCATCCTTGCGGTTGAGGAGGATGATGATGACCAGCCTGCCGACCTTGTCACACTTGCATGTCCTCCAAAGTCAGTCTAATTTGCTAACCATATGATTGTTGGTTCGCAAATGGACCTAGTCGAGATAGTTTAGCTGTCGAAAAGGTTCCTTCGATAGGAAGTTGGTTATGCCTTCCGTCTTTAAGCCTCGGTAAGCCTATGATTTCATATGGACCCTCCTAGGAAGGCCGAAGGTTCCTTCTACTAGGTTCTTGGTTGCGAGCGATACCTTGCGCATGACTCAGTCGTCAATTTGGAAAGAGCGAGGCTTTACTTTTGAATCATAATATCGGGAAACACGTTGTTTGTAAGCCCCGTTCCGAAGGTTTGCTTGCATTCGGCGTTTCTCAACTAAATCCAGGTTAAGGTCAAGTTGTGTTTTATTGCCTACGGGTAAAAAGGTTGCCGTTCAGTAGGAGGCTTCACCAATTTCATATGGTACAACTTCTTCTGAATAAAAGGCAATGAAGAAAGGAGTTTTCCTTGTGGACGTTCGAAAGGATGTCTGAATGGCCCATAGTGCCTCTGGAAGCTATTCCGGCCATCCGCCCTTGGCATTCTCTAGTTGACGTTTCACGATTTTCTTGATGATTTTGTTTATAGCTTAGACCTGGCCGTTTGATTGTGGATGAGTTGGTGGGGCAAAGAATAGATTTATCTTTAGGCGATTACAAAATTGCATAAAGAGGTTTGAATCAAATTGCTTGATGTGTATTGGTGATGATTGCATATGGGTTACCTAATTGGTAGCAAGTGTAAGTCTAGACAAAATCTTCTATCCGTGCTACAGTAATGGTTGCCAGTGCCTAGGCCTTTACCCATTTGGTGACTGTTTACAGCTACCACTACGTACTTGACTTGTCTTTTTCCCTACGACATGAGGCTGGTAAGATCCAGCCCCCATTGGGCGAAAGGTCATCGGCTTATGATTGGTGTCAATGATTCAGCAGGAACGTGGGGTATGTTGTCGAATATGTGGCATTTGTCACACCTTTTCACCAAAGCTATTGCATCGCGATGTATGGTTGGCCATAAATAGCCCTATCGAAATGCCTTCTAAGCCAACGGCCAAGAACCGGAGTGATTGCTGCAGACGCCTCTATGGATCTCTTGGAGGATGTAGTCCCCCTTTTCTGCAATGACGTACTTGAGGTATTGTGTGGTGTAGTCACGTTTGTAAAAGATGTCATTGATAAAGGTGTACCTCGCAGATCAGTACCATATCTTGCGGGCTAAGGCCTTGTCATTTGGCTGAGTGCCCTTCGTCAGTAAGAGAAGATAGGGGACGTCTAAGTGTCAGCATACCATATGACACATACTGGAGAATCGATCGTGCTTGGTTATGTCAAGATTTCTATGGAAATTTGCCACCCAATTTTATCGTCTATGGTCGAAGCCAGTCTTGCCAAAGCGTCGGTGTGACTATTCTCAACCCTTGGTATTTGCCGAATCTCGTAGGAAGAATTTTTTTTGAAGTTGCTGATGGTTGCCGATAGGTAGGCTGTCATGAAGCGTCTTTGGCAGCAAAGTCGGTCGTCACCTGGTTGACAACGAGTTGGGAGTTACTGTGTATGTTGATCTGCCTAGCACCCATATCCTTTGCTAGTCGAAGGCCAGCTAAAAGGTCTTCATATTCGCCCTTATTATTGGAAGTTCTAAAGTTGAAACGGATAACATACTCAATCTTGACTTCATCATGTATGGTTAGGACAAGACCGGCGACGTTGAACCATTGACATGTAAGACCCAAATTGGGACTGTAGGGTCAAAGCATTTTCCGTTCGTCAAGGTGTGTCCAGCTAATGCCATTGTGACATCCGAATCTTTAGGAGTTGCCGAAGGCGTTAATTCGGATATAAAATCTGCGACGGCTTGGCCTTTCTCCATCTGTCTGGGTTGAAATTGGACATTAAACTTCCCTAACTCAATTGCTCATTAGACCAATTGGCCAGATGTCTCGAGCTTTTGGAAGACCTGCCGTGTCTGGGTTGAAATTGGACATTAAACTTCCCTAACTCAATTGCTCATTAGACCAATTGGCCAGATGTCTCGAGCTTTTGGAAGACCTGCCGTAGTGGTTGATTGGTTAAGATGATGATAGTATGAGCCTGAAAATAGCGGCGGAGCTTACGCGTTGAGATAATAAGAGCGAAACCCAGTTGCTTGAGGGGAGGGTACTGAAGCTCAGCATTCTGGAGCGCTCGGCTGACATAAAAGATTGGTAGTTTGGCTGTTTTTGGTTTCTGTATCAACACAAAGCTTATGACAGTGTGTGATACGGATATGTAGAGAAAAAGGACATCCCCAGGAAGGGATTTTGAAAGCAACGGTGCCTTGCTCGTGTAGTCCTTCAATTCTTGGAACACGAAATCACATTCGGCCTTTCAAGTAATATGCTGCTTGCTTCCTTTCAAGGCTTTAAAGAATGGTGCACACTTATCCATAGCCTTTGAAATAAAGCCTGCTAAGGCCGCAACACGCCCTGTGAGGCTCTGAATATCTTTTTGTGTCTTTGGCCTTTCCATATCTATCACAACTTTGATTTTTTCAGGGTTTGCTTCGATCCTTTGTTGGCTGATCATAAAGCCAAGGAATTTTTCGAAAGATACACGGAAGGAGCATTTCGTCGGGTTCAATTTCATTCGGTATTTTTGCAAAATGTCGAACGTTAAGGATAAGTTGGGAGGTGTTGATCGGCAGTCTGACTTTTTACCAACATGTCGTATGTTCACTTCCATGGTGTTGACGATATGCTTGGCAAAAATTTGGTTAACCAACCATTCGTATATTGCTCCTAAAGCTGAGTCATTCATGACTCGCAGTAGCATGAGTATGTTCACTTCCATGGGTACATGAATATCTGGTTGTAGCATGAGTAGGCATTCATAAAGCTGAGTCATTCATGACTGGCAGTGCTGTCAATGAGTTGGTCGATCTGTGGTAACGGGAAGTTGTCCTCTGGGCAAGCCATATTGAGATGTGTATAGTCTTGACACATTCGTAATTTGCCTTTTGCCTTCCGAACCATTACAGAGTTTGCTAGCCATACTCGGTAGGTAGCCTCTCGGATGAAGCTGATGGTGCGAAGCTTATCGACTTCGGTCTTCATGGCTTCATACCGTTCGGCATCATATGATCGTGGCTTCTAGCGTCTGAGCTTATAAGCAGGGGAGATATTGAGCTTGTGGCAGATGACTTCAGGAGAGTTGCCCAGCATGTTGTCATATGATCAAGCAAACACTTCGAAATAAAGGCGTAAGAATTGGATGATGCTTGCCCTTTGAATGAGACGTTTGATGATCTTTCTCAAGCTAATACATTGATCGGTATCGTGGCTATTATGCTGGTGATACCGACAGAATTTGCCAGTATCCCAGTTATCTTGCCGATTAGGCTTTCTGTTGGCTGGTTTAGGAATGATCTCTTGCTCGTTCATGAGGACAGCCTAGTATGAGGTGTTGAGCAAAGTAAAGACTTCCTGCCCCTGATCATGGTTCGGCAACGGTCCTCGGTGAGGGTTGTTTTTGTATCTTCCCTTGTTCTTCTTGTAGCCTTCCTGCCGAGGACAAGTGTCGTCCTTACGCTTATGGCTGCTAGATTTATCTGTGACTGTATACGAAAGTTTTTGTGCTGAAAACTTCCTTTCATCTGATTATCCTTGCCGAGCCGAGGGCCTGGGCTTTGAATTGAAGTATTTAGCCTTTACATGAATGGTAGCTTGCTTCATTAACTCGTCATAGGTATGCCAATTACTGCTATGCACCATATATCGAAAGTGAGATGATCGAAGGCCACTCTTGAAGGCGCTGAAGGCTGCCCTATCATCGATTTTTGGACATCGAGAATACTCATGGCTAAACCGAGTAGTGTATTCTCGCAAAGGTTCGTCATCCCGTTGCCGAATGGTGAATGGTATGTGCAGAGTTTGTACATCTTTGTCCTGTTTGGAATTTTTTACGCTATCAGTAAATGGTCTTGGTTAAGGTTTACTCCATGCGGGTTCTTGAGAACGTAACCTATCATCTTCCATTTTCTGAACCTTTTGTAAGAAGAGGCGGATGACTGTCGACTAGGTAGTTCCTCCGTTCGGCTTATTTTTAGGAGTTGGGATGATCAGATGCTTGGAAGGGGCATGCATTGCCTTCGTCCCTCATTTTCCCTTCCTTTGCCGATTGGGTGGTACACGCTCTAGGAAGATTGACTGGTTTGAATGTTATGAGTTTGCTGCGAATCGAGTTGCTTATGCATTTCATCCACTTTGGATGAAAGACTATTGATGTGTTCCTGCATTTTTGCCATGTCCTACCATAATGCTGCGATCTGGGCTAGAAGCTCAGCTTCGGTAGCAGTTTGGAGTGTCGATGGATCGCCTGCTAGAGTGCGTGGGGGCAGTGTTAGGCTTGCCCCGCTTTGCTTGCCGAGTGGTGACCCCTCTGTCGGCAGGAACAATGGTATTGATGCGGTTCCCATTTAATAAGGTAAAGGTAGTGGGTCGATTAATACTGCTTCTCACAAACGGCGCCAAACTGTTGATACTCAAAAATAGTCCTGTATGAGCTTTGATTTGCAAGGCAAAGAGTGCTTGGTAAGTCCTATGGCACCGTTTAAATTAGAATAAGTACGAAGTGAGTAGTAATTTGGACAGAGTTAAATCATTTTTGGGACTTGTGCCCATTCTTATAGATTTTGGGAGGTGTATATCTTGAGTGAAATTTCAATGTGGGACTGTGGGCATTGTCTGAGGTGACTCGACGTGTACTTGTGAGAAATACTGGATGGAATGAGTCGTCTGCTATGCGATCGGCATTCATGGGTGCAGAGTGCTCTCCCTGCCGATGGTGATTTGTAGGTCACAGTCGACTGTGACTTTCTTGTGGGTCAACTCCCTGGATCCCTTATTTCCACGTGTGGTCCTCTCATTAGTTGGTCAGATACGGTGTAAACACCTATGTTCTGCCTGGTCATAATGTTGCTCAGCTTCTTACTCCCTCTGCTCTTCTGTGGAGATTCATGACTTGTGTAGGCATCCCTTATCTATGGAGTCTCAGAATATGTTGGCCAAAGATGAGCCGGTAGTAGAACTATAGAGTGGTAGAATTTTGACAATCCAATCCTTTTATCTTTGAGAGACTTCATATCATAGTTATGTTGGTTTTATAATCTGCTTTGGGAGGCTGTGGTGGAGTTAATGGTTATTTATTTGTTTAAGTCTTGAAATGGGCTCAGCGATCTCATATTGTTGAAAAAGTAGGTGAAGCTCTTTTTAGTTTCTTAGAAAGATAGGAAATAAAAATAGATGTCGAATGCTGTGGAAACAATTCCATAGATTATTCTAAGTTCTAAATCACGGTTAGGCCTGACATGAATTAAACAGAAATTAGAGTTACCCTATTTGTTTTGAGAATTTTGAATCCAATTGAACCAGGGCTTTGTCTCTCCATGTAACAGTGCCATGCTGCTATGTCTTGGATTCACTGATGCCAGCGAAGATGTATTATTGCATCAGTCGTATCGTTTTGCTGGAAATAAGTTAGTCTTGCCTGCATTATTTGAGGGAATATTCTTCATGATTGTGTTTTGTCTGAGTCTAGTCTTGGGGTCTTTGACAAAGATGGCGTGTGCCTCGTACAGATTCCAGAAATAGACATCACTTATTTTAACTATTGTGAGATAACTACTGTGTTGAGACTAGCTAGGCCCCTATGTATAGCTTTATACATACTAATTAAGATGTAAAATAAACCTATTGCTTGCATAATCAGCTAAGCATACCTTGCGGACAGACAAGTAATATTGACAGAAACTTCAACGGAAAGTTGATCATTCTGACCATTGGCTTGTCGGCTCACTAGACGCGTTCCTTCTACAAGTATTGCATACATTTGGTTTGGTCATTGGACCAGTACATTCTTAATACACCAATATACCGCTTAAATACTAAAGTTTGATATGCTTTTGAGCCATTGATTTTCATTGAAGGTGATTTCCCTTGAAATTTAGAGCTTGCCACTTTGTTTATCAATGCATTTGAGCTGAATTCACTGCAGTTAAGACAGAAACCCTTCTATCCCTAAAGAAAGAAAGAAGACAGTAATTAACCTTGGGCATTTCGCTCTAGCTCTTTAAGAACTCAGGTGCAAGAAAAGCATGTAAGTTGTTAGTTGTGTACTAGTTTCCTTCTTAACCATGGACTTGGGTTGGGTGTTACAGAAATTGACTGGTGACATATTGCTCACGTCATTTTCAGTAAGCGACTGTGTGATTGACATAATATTGCATTGCACCAATTAGTTTTGAAATATATTCTTTGGTGGGATTTTGACAGGCTCCTTTTGTTTCACTTTGCTTGATTCCTGAGGCCATATTCTTCTCATCTTCTATCCATGCTTTTTATATTGTGAGATCTCCACCAATGGGTCCATTGAGGAATAATAATTGATGAGGCACCTTTTTATTTATTTATTATTTATTTATATTTATATAAATGACTTTTTGATTCACTGGACCTTCTCCTACTGACCTAAAAAAATAGCAGGGGCCATTTGGCATCATCCTAGAATCTCCTTTACCTGTTATGGAATATATTAAAGCAAGAAAGGAGCTTCAAGTACAGCAGCTGGTTAAAGAGAAAGGTACTTCAATAACTCTTCTTCTTTTCTTGTTTTTCAAACATTCGGGCCACATACCATCAGAACTAGTCAATAATTTTATTCCTTGCTTTGAATATGAGCTTGCCACCAAGGATATTAGTTCAGGAAAGTAGAAGCAAATGAAATGCTTGCTCAGGAAGAACCCTTCTCTTCCATGAAACTAGATGACCTATCACTTGCAGGTTCCTACCATTACAATCTTACAGTTACCCATTTTAGATGAAGGAATTATGATGGTAACTACCTGATTAGTATAGTAATTACTGTAGTTTAAATTAACACGCGGCGAGTCAACTGATAGGGATTTTCGGGTTGTAAGGATCAAATGCTTGAACATAAATTAGTATCTTAAACTTTTAATAGCAAGCTAAGATATATAAATTAGTATCTTAAACTTGATCAGCTTTGAATCCTGGGACATTGTTTATCAATGCAGCAGACCAACTGAATGTGTAACACTGGGATGGCAAGTTTTTTGAAGATCAATGATTGGATTTTGATTCCAGTGATCAAACTCTCGACCACAACCCAAGAAATCTGAAGATCAATCTGATGCAATTGACTTTTACGATTTGTTGTTGGCCATTGTGGCCTCCTTTTCTTTTCTTCTTTTCTTTTTGGGGGTGAAAATTTCTTTTATTCAGTTCAGTTTGGATATGGATTACAGAATTAAAGCTAACAATCCCTTTGGAATATATTTCTTTATGGGACTTTTATGCAGAGTGAGCCCTGTTGATTGCCCTTTATGTCATTTCATTTTGTGTTGGCATGCATGAGAGAGAGAGAGAGAGAGAGAGAGAGAGAGAGAGAGAGAGGGTTAACTTATCATCACAATTGAATTCACAAAAGAGGTTAACTAATAATATTGGTTATGTTTATTAATTCAATCCAAGTGTTAATGTCAGGTTTTTCTTTGAGCATGATCAATGGACAGAATTATATATCAGAAAAAAGGAAAACAGGAAAAGTGTGATGAGTTTTTAGGTCCATGAAGCAATTATATTTGATTCCTTGCCTGTGAAACATCCAAGGCAGGAACCATTGATTGATGTAACCTCTAGTGGCATTTAGTGCTGTATATTAACCCTAGAAATATAGGATGTATGACCAGCTTCTTATGAAACTCAGCCACCAAGATTCTCCTGTATTTATTTGGATCCAAATTTTAATCTTTATTTCATGCAAGACTCGTTTTAATTTACTTTCTGGATGGAATATAAAAGTAAATAATAATGTAATGTTCGCATAGAAATTTAAAGTATATATCTTTATTTCACTAAAAATTGATGATTTGATTCACTTTTTCTGGAATACTTCTTTACAAGAAAAATACGTTATGGTTTGGGGTCCCAAAATCTAACCTTAGATTCTTTGATTCCTCCATCCTTACAAAGAACAAAAGGAATCTGCCAATCACACCACATCCTCCTCAGAAAAGAAACTTATAAATAAATAAAAGGGAGATAAATTTAAAAAGAAAGAAAGACCCATTTCCCTTTCAGTCACCAAAAGAAATATCCATTATGACGTTCTCATCAACTTAATTATTTCTTTATTCATATTTTTCTGCATTGCTCCTCACACTAGTAGGAAAGTTGCACCCATTATTCATCATGGTGGGGTTTCTTATTCATCAGGGAATCAAGCAGAGAGAGAGAGAGAGAGAGAGAGAGAGAGGTGGGAAAACAGCAAGATAAAACAAACCATACACTTTTCCTCTTTTCTCTCCTTTTAAGACTCAAATTGAACTGTGTTGCTTTCTCTGTTTTTGCTGCATCAGAGATTCTCTCCACCCCTTTCAAGTCAAAGAAGTGAGAAAATAAAATTAAAAAAAAGAAAAGTTGGTATGAAATGAGAGATGGAAGGAAAGGAGGAACTACAGCTCATGGCATATATTCCCCCAACATAACCCCACTTATGTTTCCAGATATGGAGTGAGAACACAGGACAGGCCAACTACTCCAAATTATAAAGAGAGCTCTATAGCTGCCACAGATTGGATCAAAGCTTTTAAGGCTCCTAATGTTGCCTTCTTCTATCTCTCTCTCATCCACAATACAAAAATGGGTCTGCTGCAGAATATGCAAAATCAGAATATGAATTTGGTTTTGTCAACTGATGCAAAGCCCAGGCTAAAATGGACTCCAGAACTTCATCAAAGATTTGTTGAAGCAGTCAATCAGCTTGGAGGGGCAGACAGTTGAGTATATAAGCTTGATTGATATTCTTCTTCAAATCCCTTTTTAGTTTCTTTCTATTTCTATACAAAGTTCTAATGTCTTTGTTTCACATATGGGCAGAGGCCACACCAAAGAGTTTGATGAGGGTGATGGGAATTCATGGACTCACTCTGTACCACCTAAAGAGCCACTTACAGGCATATTTCTCCCTTTTCTTGGTTGATCACATCCTGTCTCTTTTCAGACCATTATGGTAAAGCATAACTGTAAAACTGTTTTGTTTTCTCGTACAGAAATACAGGCTAGGGAAAAGCCAACAGTCAGAAAACTGCACTGACATTAAGCAAGAAGGTGACTCCAATGCTTCATTAGATTATAAAAACTATAAAGGATCATCATCTTTACTCTCTTTTTTCTTCTTAATCTTCTTGAAATCTTAATATTGATTGTCCTCCCTTGATGCAGATTACAAAGAGATTCAGAGCAGTGATGATCATTTCGACACAGATATCAGTGATGAAACTCACTGTCAGATTAATGAGTAATATAGTTAGAAAATAGATCCCATCTCTTTGATGAATTTAGATGGAAATGACAACACAAAGAACTCCTATTGATTAAGTGTTGTTATGTTTATCAGAAGCTTGCAGATAGCTGAGTCTCTCCAATTACAAATGGAAGTGCAGAGGAAACTTCATGAACAAATTGAGGTAAAACCGATAAACCAATATAAATCCATCCTCAATTCATAAACAGATTTAAAAACTACCAATGCATGCCAACAAACCCAGAGTTCTGTTTTCAGGTGCAGAGACATCTTCAGCTAAGAATTGAAGCTCAAGGGAAGTATTTACAAACAGTATTAAAGAAAGCACAAGAAACTCTTTCTGGGTATAGTTCTTCTTCAGTGGGAGTAGAACTTGCAAAGGCTGAACTCACTCAGTTAGTCTCAATGGTTAACAATGGATGTCCCAGTTCTTCATTCTCAGAATTAACTGAAACAGGAACTTCAAGCCTAAAATACATAGAGAGGAAACAAATGAGAGGCTCCATGGAAAGTTCCTTGACATCTTCTGAAAGTTCAGGAAGGAAGGAAGAGAAGCAACCAATGCATAAGCATGGTGGTGATCCTGAAAAGTCTAATACAACCTGTGTGGAGCTACCATTGATGGACATCCACCCAGAAAATAAGCCATGGAATAATGTTACAAACAATCATGTTATTGGGAGGAAGAGAAGCAGCAGTCCCATTTCTGATGGTATCTGTGTTGAGCAACCAATTTCTAAAAGGACACCAACACAAAGGGACAAAAGTGGCCAGCATCTGAGAAAGTCTGGATTATCGGCCACAATTGATCTGAACAGAAAATATCAGAATGACATTGATTCTGGTCCAAAAGTAATAGACTTGAATTGCAAGGGAATTTAAGACCTCAAGTTTGAAACCATCTGGGTTTAGTTATATGTAGTCTATGGAGCAAACTTAATTCCCCATTAAGTGCTAATCTTTTGTTTATATACTATGTACATTGTTATATGTATGGACCTTTTGAAAGTATATTCATATCAAAAGAAGGTATAATATATTGTGTGGATCTCTCTCTCTCTCTCTCTCTCTCATGTGCGTACATGAACGCGTGTTGAATGCCAACCCGGAAACTGCTCACTGCTCCTGTCTGATCATGAAGTTCCTAAATTAAACTTAACAAACTCGCTTTTTGGGTCATAAGACACTATATAGAACGTATAGAATGTTTTGTAGATATATGATACCTACTTTATAGCTGCATGTCGCATGACTTGATATAATCATGTCAATCGATAACATCAGAGCGTTCTTGAAATGTATTTTCTATGTTTGTCAAGGGCAGGCAGGGCATTATTTAGATACAATTTTCCACTACACATTCTAAAGGAAAAACCAGTGAAGGGCGAGAGAAATCATGATAGAAACAAAATCATTAGACCCCCAACAATAGAAAAGGATGGATTACTAGCTAAGCCATGCGCATGTTATCTAATGAATGCAGAGGAAATCAATCAATTATAATAATATGCTACTAGCACCAACTAACTCTATAATTGTCTGTCCCACCCCCTACGGAAATAAACTATGCCTACCTCTCTCCTTAATCCACAGTTATATGGAAGCACCAGGCCTGGAACTCCTACTACAACAAACTATTCTTGGTAATGGGCTTTTCATTTTATCTGCTCCTCCTATTTGTTGACTTGGCTTTATGTTCCTCATGGCTTCAAGGTATGCTACTACCATTACCCTGTTTATTTTTAGCAAATATCTCATTTAGAAGTTCTGCATTGATATCCTGCTTTGCTAATTGTGATTGTAGGACAAACGCTTCCCCATATGACTTCAGATGTCAATGAAGTCTCAGGCAAGTCCTTCGATTACATTGTCGTTGGAGGAGGCACCGCTGGCTGTCCCCTAGCTGCAACCCTCTCTGAGAAATTCTCAGTGCTCTTGGTGGAACGAGGTAGCTCACCATATGGAAATCCGTTGGTGTTGGAAACAAAGAACTATGGGCTCTCATTGCTTCAAACTGATGAATATACATCAGTTGCACAGAGCTTTATCTCCAATGACGGTGTTCCCAATCTCAGAGGAAGAGTTCTAGGAGGATCATCTGCTATAAATGGTGGGTTTTATAGTAGAGCAAGTGAGGATTTTGTCCAAAAAGTTGGGTGGGATAAGGAGGCGGTAATGGGTGCTTATCAATGGGTGGAATCGAGAATTGTCTTTAAACCTGAATTGACCCCATGGCAGTATGTTGCTGAGTTTAGCTTTCTTGAAGCAGGAATTTTCCCATATAATGGTTTTAGTTTGGAGCATATTGAGGGAACAAAGGTTGGTGGGAGTGTATTTGATGAATGGGGACGAAGACACACCTCAGCTGATCTTCTAGAGGCAGGGAATCCAAACAACATCACAGTTCTTTTAAATGCAACTGTGAAGAATGTCATCTTTCGTGAAAAAGGTAAAGCATGAAACTGGTGCTAGTTCTTTACTGATAAAAAGCCTTTATATGGTTGAATTCCTAAATGGTTTTGCAGGTAACAGAAATGAGACAATAGCTAGAGGCATAAGATTCATCAAGAGCGACGGCAATTCGAGCCAAACTTACAATGCTTACCTCAACCAGCCAGAGAACTCATGTTCATGGGGTGATGTGATACTAGCAGCAGGGGCCTTAGGCAGCCCTCAGATTTTATTGTTAAGTGGCATTGGCCCTCAGAAACATCTAAAGAAGTTCAATATCCAACTAGCAGCCGACTTAAAAGGGGTTGGAAAAGGAATGAAAGACAATCCTGGCATTGCACTCTTAGCTGACTCTAAGCCTAAAAATTTCACACCAGAACCTCCAAAAGTTGTCGGCATAGCAGATCACTTCAAAATCATAATTGAGGCAGGAATTTTACCTATTAGCCTCAATGCAACAGTAATGCCAATTGCTGCCAAACTTGCGTTTCCAGAATCAGAAGGAAAGCTAGAACTGAACAGCACAGACCCCAGAGAAAACCCATCAGTGACTTTTAACTATCTAGCAAAGGAAAAGGATTGGGCAAGATGTGTAAAGCTAGGGCAGTTGCTTGAGCGAGTTGTAAGGTCTGAATCAATTGCTTTCTTCCTGGGGTTGGAACGCAAAAATGAGTTGATGTCCACTGAAGACGAGCTAAGAAAATTGTGCAAGAAGAATGTGAGGACCTTCTACCACTATCATGGTGGTTGCTCTGTGGGGTCAGTTGTTGACAAAGATTACAGGGTATATGGTGTGAAAGGATTAAGAGTAGTTGATGGATCAACCTTCCTGGAATCACCAGGCACAAATCCAATGGCCACCCTGTTGATGCTTGGAAGGTACCAAGGGATCAAGATTCTTGAAGATAGAAATTAATTATGCTTAAAACCCATCATATCCCAGAGTTTCATCAACTTGTATTAGCCAATTACCATGTACATATTTGAATAAAAAGTTTCAGTTTTTTTTTGGATTGAAATTCACTCAAAACAACATAAAAAATAACCCTTTTTGAAAGAATAAAGAATTGTGTGAATACGATCAACTCCAAATTCGAAATTCTGCACAGCATTTAGATCTGTGCATCATCAACTCACTTTGATATTCCTCCTTACCATCGTATCATGATAAAAGTTGAAAAAGGAGGCAAAAGAAATTTGAAATACTATTTCACCGGATGAAACTTAAAGCTCCGAGCCTGTACAAATCACTTCCTAGTTCCTTCCTACAAATTTCTAAGAACAGAAATCTTAAATTTTTTGTTTTCTAACTCTGCATATCATCATGATCAGCTGCTGGGCTTGAAGAAGAATCACTGGCATTAAAATCACCTGAAGGTGTTTGCTCAGAATCCTCACTTGCTCTCGTGCTCTCTTGGACATAAAAGCTAACCCTAATCTCTCCCTCGACCCTCCTCTCTCTGTCCGCACCATCGCTCTTCTTCCCCGGCTCTTCCTCATCAACAGGCATGTTATACCGACAAACTGGGCAAGACCCATGAATCTTCAACCACTTCTCTATACAACCACCGTGAAACCTATGCTTGCAAGGCATCTCTTTGGCCACACCATCAATCTCAAACTGCTCCAAGCAGATCACACACTCGGACCCACCATCACCTTCAACAATCTTTACACAGGGCATGCCATCAATGGAGGCTTTCGAGGCCGGTGGCTGGCCATCCTTCATACCCAACTCTTGCAGAGAATCGCCTTCGACCACCATCATAGTCTGAGCGAAAGGGTTGATGAAAATGAGTCTTTCATGCGCGGTCGGCCTTCCAGGGTTTTCTTGATCTGGGTTGTCGTGATCTGGGTTTTCCTGGTCAGTTCTCGGGGTGGCGCTTGCCAGGCCCAAGATGAAGGGCACGAACAGAGACAGGTCTCTCTCCCTCACAATCCTTTCAAAAAACGAAGCAATCTCAGACGCCTCTGCTTCAGAAGCCATGGTACTTTCTGCTAATTTGTGATCAAGAACAAAGAAAGAGAGAATTTTCAGGAGAATCAGAGAGAGATTTGGGGAAGCTAAAGAATCACAAAGAGAAAAAAAAATAGAGAATGGGGTTTCGGCTTTGGGACTGGTCAGATTTTAAGAGGGGAAGAACTGTGAGGAAGAAGGTTGTAGAAAGATCTGGAACTTCTGGACAAAAGAAATATCTGGAATTTTATTTGTGATTATTTTAGAGACCGCGGGATTCCTAATAACACGTGGATAAGTATTTTATCAAGTATTTACAGGACGTGGAATTAGGGACGAATGACACGTCAAATTTTGGAGGAAAAAAACAAAAAAAAAAAAAAAAAAAAAAAAAAAGAGAATTTTCGAATTTTTCGTACGATGCATTTATGTCTATCTTCACCCTTCTAAAGTTCAAAGGGTGCCCAATAAAAAAAAGTTCAAAGGGTGAAGATATAATTTGCACAATCCAGAGAGCCGCCAGAACGAAAGCCTGTCTCTTCTCTATTGGTGGGTCATGGCTGAATCGGCTGATGCAAGGATGTTTACAAATTGAACTTTCTGAAAGGACCGCACACAAAGTGTTTGATGAAATTCCTGAACGGCTTTGTTTTGCGTTTTTCAATATTTCCAGCCTGTGTTTTGATGTTTCGGACCCCGAAGTGACATAGTGCACTGTTCACCTTCAGCAAGTCAAACAGTTAAAGAACTACTTGTGTATGAGTATGGCTCTTGGGAATGTTGCTGCTCTGCAATTTTCGGCTTCTGCTCTTTTCGGGATTCGTTCAGCAACTTCCAGCTTTCCACAGCCCATGCAGACTAGAATAAGTAAGTCAAAGCCAACTTACACTAGATTATTATTATTTTCTTCAAAAGATATAAACCCTTCTCAATGGTTCTGTGTTTTTGCCCAATGCTAAAAAGATAAGGAAAAGCTATATCACTGGTGCATGCAAATTTGCATTCTGGGTTTACTGGCAAATGCTGTGATTCATGTAGATTTCTCCGTGAAGCCGTTGGTAATGAGAGCAAGGGGGAATGCCCGAACAGAAAGTGCGAAAATTCGAAACAGAAGAATGCAAAAGAAGGTATATCGTCCTCCTTGCATTTGATGAAAAATGTGCTACGTGATGCTTGAGTTAAGTGAGTTTCTTAGGGCTCATTTTGTTTCTAATCCGCTAAATCATGGTTTTCTACTTCTTGATCAGTATAATGGCACGCCTAAAAGACCACGGCTGTCGGTATTCTGTTCAGGTAAACAGTTGTATGCTATGCTGGTAGATGATCAAAACAAGAACTGTTTGTTCTATGGAAGCACTCTGCAAAAATCTATGCGTCAGAATTCGCTCTGTAGTACCAGTGTAAGTGCACTCCAAGCTTGTGTAAGAGAGATCTCTCAGCCAGCCACTGTCAATTTAGAGAATCATTTGATGATAGTAATGCAAATTCTCTAAACTTCATTCTGCTATAACATCTGATAGGAAGCTGCTAAACGCGTCGGCGAGGAGCTCATCAAGGCGTGCAACGATCTCAACATACATGAATTATCATCTTACGATCGCAATGGTTTTGCCACCGGGGAAAGGATTCAGGCATTTGAGATTGCAATTTCTGAACATGGGTTCTTGCCAAGATAGATCTGCGTCTACTATGTTAACTCTTGTCGATAATACATGGAATTGAATTGTTCTTTTGCAATATCTATTTTGCCTTTCTTCTAATTTTTTTTTCTTTAAATGAGAAGGGCAAGATTCAAGAGAGAGAAAATGATTAGGATTCTAGGTAAATCATGCTAACTGCGCACAGATTCTATACATTTCTCCCCTCTCTCTATCTCATCCTAAGGAAACTCTCATGTAACAAGGATTGCACTTTTTGTTATCCCGGCCAATAACGCAATAACACGTAGGATAACTTTTCCACGTGTCATTTTGTTATTGGCCGGGATAGCAAACCAGTACTATCCCCATTACATGTAAGTTTTTTTGCATCCTAAGCTGAACGCGCAAAATTTCAACACTATATATCCTATGGCATCACACTACGTAATATCACTAAAATATACAGCAATGGTGGTCGGCTAGTCACTAAAATATCTCCTCTTTAGTTAGCGCCTTGGTCAATCTTGGTCAACTACTCTCTGCAAAAAGATCGGGTTGCCAAGATTTCTCTCTTCAGCTTCGATGGAGGCTGATGAAGCTATAAAAGGTTTCCAATGGATAATCTAATTTTGTCTACCTATCGCCCCCACAGCATTTAGCAACTTGGCCTTCTTGAATTTTCTGCCACAGGCAAAGCATCTCCCTCGGACCTTGGTAATGCGCAACGACATAGCCATCCTTGCACCCTTCGTTGTAGACCTTCTCTTCCTTCACGTACTGTACATTTAGACCCTCCTTTTTCATATCTGCAATCCAGATGCCCATCGCCACATCTTCTAGCTTGAACATCTGATATGACAAAGCAGTGTTCTTACTTTCAGATGGTCAAATAAAGAAATCATTATGTCATCTCATTTCACGCTTTTCTTTATATTGTTTAAAAATGTAGATTGTTTCTTACCTTTAAGCTGCCTTTCTTATACCGTGCCGAAACTGCCTTTGCTATGTCATTTGATACCACATAACCAGGACCGTGTGCCCATGGTGGGTAGGTCTGTTCAGGCCATTCCTAAATTAAAGCAGCCGATGAATGGAGAAAATTATGTGAGAAGTAGATACTTTTTTTTTCAACCAATGGAAAATCACAGCTTGCATGGTATGATATGCAGAAGGAAATACATTCATATTTAAATAGGATCAACAAAAGAAATTACCTCAGGGCTGATATACCACTTGCTATCTGGATTTCGATGAGGTCGGGAATCTGAGTTAATGAGGCCATAAAGCAGCCCACGAGTCACCTTGATCCTGTTTAAGGAAGCTAGCACTTCATCCACACGGACAAATGCATCGTCATCCGTCTTCATGACAAACTTTGCTGAAACAACCTCTGTCTGTTGAAGAGATTAAATCAATGACAACAGGAAAACAGACATTCCCATGTTCAAGGAAAAGTAAGATTTTTACCCCAAAGATGCAGATGGCCAAAGTTTTCCAGGTAATGAGGCCATAGTAATCAACAAAAGGCATCAGCTGTATGTCTCCATAGGTTTGTGCCTCGTTCCAGAGTTCTTCATTCACTATTTGGTTCTTGTGCTGCAATACGTTTCAAACTTGATGAATAATTTAGCAACAGGCTCAAAAGAAACAGAAAGAAGTAATAAACAGACATTTTTTGGGTGAACAAACAGAGCATAAATTTGCATTTTAATGCTTACCATGCCTAATGATAGAAAAAATAAATGATAAATCTGGAAATAAGATGTGGATTGGTATGAAAAGAATCAGGACTCTGTCCATCAGAAGGACCTTCCTTTAAAAGAAGATCATTTTGGGTCCACTGAAAATTGTCCATGCAATCTTACATGGCTGATTTTTGTTAATACTTTAACAAAGAACAAGACTTTAGCTCACCAAACCAACAAAAAAGCGCACTGAAACTGCCCCTGATCGCACAGCAGCATACTGCATCCATGTTCTTCGAACAGCCATTCTTCGTTTAAAATTGTTTGCGGTAGAGAAAACACCAATAAAGAGATCCAATCGTCTGTGAGGAGAGAGAGGAGCAGATTTGAGTTCTTCTAAATTAATTATGTGCTCCGAATCCTCTGATGAGGGTAAACCGCTGGCTAGGACAGAAATTAGTTTCAAGTCTCCAGATATCCTTAATTCACTAACAAGCCATGGCTCCAAAGTCTGAACAAAACCAGGAAAACAGCATATGAATTCAAGGAGACAAGTGTTTATCTTTCAAACGCAACAAGAAAAATAAAAAATGAAGAACTTACCTCACGGAATGCAAAAGATGTTAGATGCTTCCCATCAACAGTCATTTGGATTCCTTCTGAACCCACTCTAAGTGTAGCAACAAATGGATAACCTTGCTTAAATGGAAAGTATCTTCTGGACTTTGATCCGTCTTGCACAGTTGAAGACTGCCTTGAAACGTTGGAACGTATCCTCTGCTCTTCAGTTTTTCCAACTATCTTGTTGCACTGGTCCAACTCATCCACTGGCACATGAAACCATTGACACTTTTAATACAGAGAAAGAGTAAATATAAATAGGCCTTATAGAACTGGACAGATACTAGTCATTGAACATGATTTCACATTAAAACATTATATTCAGTCTTTAGTAAAAATTACAAAGACAGTTTAGCATGCTATGACCCAAATGTTAAAAATATATATACATATAGCTCTCAGTGTCACTAATAACTGCACCACATAGTGTATTGCAGAAACACTGTCTGAATTGGGTTATGCAACTAACAAAGTACTAATATCTATTTAGTAGGGTTGAACTTAATATGCATTACTTATAAAGAAAATAGTTTTTATCTGATGGATGCACACCCTGATGAAAAATGGAAGAATGGGCTAAAGGAAAAGGTCAAATTGTTTCATAATACTGAAACTGCAATTCCACTATCAACTTAATATGTCAAAAGACGAAGCGATGTACTAAACTTTTTGCTATAGCTGACTAATAGAAAAATGAGGCAGGAAATTTAACCTTTATTGTTCTTTTCAGGTGTTGGGGATGGGCAACGCTCCTCTTCACCCCAATCATGAGCAACAGTCCAGGTGTTCTGGACAATTACGGGGTCCTCGGTTAGCTTATCACCATTTAGCCTCACATTGTAATGCAATATAACGGGTGGATCAGGCTCCCCTGGAAGAGGCTCCCCTGTCAACTCAATCCGAAAATTCCCAACAAGTCCATTTGGAACGCCAATAACTGTAATTGAAGAACCTTGAGTCAGGCCACAAGGAACCCGCAACTTATGAACATTATTATCAATTCCTGTCCCGTTCATTTTATTGAGAAAATAAGGACACTGCTTCTCTTTTGCTTTCCCAGGTGAACTTTCATTTGTATAACCAAGTCTTTGTTCTTCAACTGAAGTCATAAGGCTATTCCATGCACCTCCAGCTTCCTTTATAGCATCCACCGCATGGGGCAAACCCTGAGCTTGATTGATAAGGTGTTTCAAAAGGTTCCATGTCTGCATAGTTTGCTGTTCCTCATTGGATACATTCCTCTGAGCAAAGAGGCTAAAGACTACAATCTCAGCAGAAATCACTTGAGAAGCATTCTCTGGATTCTGAACTGCAGGTGGAACAGTATTTAACCATTCAAGAGGATTACTAGTATTGGTGTAGAGTGCATTGGTCAAGAAATTATCCCCAGTGGGGTAGTTTAGGATGCCATATCTCAAAACTAGCAGCATGAACAAACTTGCAGCCACAATACCGCCATAAGATTTCTTCATTTTGGTGATTACAAAATTGCATCAATAGTTCTGAGCCTGGTTTCGCAACATATTGATCATCATGAAACCAAACTACCACGCTGAACCAAAACCCAAAATTTATCAGTAGCAAGCCACAACAGTTACTCTTAAATGGAGAGAACAGTTACTGAAACATAACCAACAACAGGAATATTCAATGAAAAGAAATTGGGATATAAGGCTCTGTCAATGGCATCAATCGCATATCATCTGCAATCTAAGTCCTACATGGACTTTTGTTTCCCCAATTATTTTGAGAAACATCACAGAATTGAACTAACATAGTTGGACATAGTCATGAAAGCCAGCATTTATTTTTTTAGACTTTTCAACAAAATACCACCAGTAATAGTTCATTCCGTGTCAAGACTTTCCACAGATCAATTGGTCAAATACATAGGAGCAGTTGAGTTTTTTTTTGTTTTTTTTCTTCTTTCAGCAACTTTATAGTGTTCTCGGGAGACCAGATCAGATGCAAAATGCTATAATTTACTAAGTGATAGCGTAGAGAAGCACGAGACTGCAATGACTATATTTTAAGAGGAGGCGAATTGTTTAATCAAACCTAAAGCTCAAACAAAATTACGGAAAATTCAGTGAATTAGATTTCTCGGTCGAAAAATTATCATGTCAAATTATTCATGTTTATTATATACAACATTTTCTTCTTTGACTAATTCAAAACATAATTTCTCGTTGAATTTACTAGATATGCCATTGCGGTATTTTACATCTTACTGGAAAAATTGTTCGGAACCTCCATTAACGCCGAAGCAAAATCAAGTAAAATCAAGTAAAAATCAATCTACTAGTTCGTGAACTCATCCAAATCTACCATAAGCAAAATACGCTAAATTGAATTCCTAAATTATAAATCATCAAAGTTCGAGAGTTAATAAAGCTCATACCTCCAATCGTTCTGCTACTTCAACGGCACACATATGCTAAGCTTGATTATGATATCTTCGTCAACTTTCTCGTCAAGCAAACAGTGCTTGAATCAATTGAAGCCGGAAGCAAGTGACCGGACAGATCCGAACTTACCGAGCAAGCGAAGAAGAAGAAGAAGAAGAACTGAGGAGTTCTGGATTAACTAAGCTACAGCAAAACAAGAAATTATAAGGAGAAAAAAACACAGAGGTGTAAAATTAGCAATATGACTAAAAAGGACAAGGCTCAAAATGACGGAAGTAAAGACGGTGGAGAATTTGCTCATATGTTTACCTTGTGAAGAAGAAGCAGCAGAGCGGCAGCTTTGTTTGGAACAATGCCGGAAAGTGAGAGAAAAAATCGCCGAGAAAATTTGAAATGAAGAGAAAGAGTAGAGAGTGATGGATCGTTGCCGTTTGAACCTTTGAGTCTACGCGTTAACGGTGGGAAACCATAAAGAAACTGTTTTGGTCTTTATGAAGACTTGATTTCGTCCCCTTTTTAAGTCTGCTCGATCATTATACTTAAATTTATTAAATTATCGATTTTTTTGGGGAAAAAAAATTAGGATATTACTTATAATTAATAATAATAATAAGAAATAGCATATTAAAAGAATTTGGACTTTGTGTTTTCACTTAACTTTTCTTCTTCTCTCTTTTTTGCAGTCTAATTAAAGTACAATGAATTCTTTTCTTTTGGGCTAAGTTCATCACCTACTACCACTCTAGAGTTCGCTTTTTTTAGACTCTTATTTAATAATATATAATAATTAGTATTAATTGTAATGGTAATATTCTTATAATTACCAATTCATGAACATAATACCTAAAATGTCATTCTTTTGACCATGACTGACACTATTAGCATTTAATTTTGTCTCTTTATTTTATTTCTCACACTTTAAAACACCAAATTTTGGCAATGAGATTTAATTCAATGAAAAAAGCCTCGACTTGCAGACAAAAGATGTCATGTTTGAATTCACATGACATTTTGGTTGTGTGTATGAGAAATCTCTTTTTCATGTAATTTAGATCATAATTTTTGTAAGGAATTTGTAATTTCAAGTGATGAAAGCAGTCAACATCACATTTGAAGTATGAAGAAAAAAAAAACCTCTCTTTATGTTTTAAGAAAAATAAATTGATTCTAGGAAAAGGCAAATTATTTTTGGCATCAAACTCGTGTAGCAACGTGTTCATCAAATATTACTATTAGCAAGAAGAAGAATGTAGTAATTTTATTAGTTGTTGAAAATTTGAAATTTGTTTTTTTTTATTGCTTTAAATGACCCGTTCAGCTGTTCATGAAACTTCCAATTGCCTTGTCCACATTCTATATTGAATATTGACCGGGAAAAGCCAACTGGACAACGACATTTTGCGCGATGGCGGACTTTCTCGATTAACGCCGTGACTTGACGTGGCTCTCTGTTAATGGGCAGCGTGATACATACGGTCAAGTTCTTTCCCTTTATTTTATTTTTACGCTTTCTTTTGCCTTTACTTCTCTCTATCTAACATGCGGCAATTTTATCGCGACGGAAACGTGTCGGCGTTAGTCAGTAACAGCTCAAAGGGGTCGATAGAAATGATGGAAAGTCATAGAAAGTGGGGCCCACCAAAAGAGGCCCCGCCTCCTTATAAACATCGAGAGGCGGTCCGTACAATTGCCCAGTGTTGTGCTGTTGTTGTTGTTTGCGCCTTGAAATTGCAGACCAGGACCGGTAGCTAGACAAACAAAGTGACTAAGCCTCCTCAGTGTGCATTTACACTTCTGCCCTTGCCCTTGATTATTGACAGTGACGCAACGTAAATAATAAAATAATTTACGGCCCGTTGTTTGCGGGTGAAATGTAATTTTCAAACCGGGTGTCCAAAGGGGTAGGCTTTAGCTAGGGACAGCCCAACAGGTGACTTTGGAAAAGAGCCCAATCAGAACGCGCCACCAAATCAAACGTGATAAAGCTTTTTATTTTTATTTTTAGAATTATTAATGTAAAACATCATTATGCTTTGGTTTGGGGCTGCTTAACGATGAATTTTTGTGCGACTTTGATTAATTGATACTAAACTTTATTCATTAATATAAATGCATCTGGTAGAGAGGTACTATATATCACTGACACATCACCGAACCTGATGCGGAAGGTGAACATAAAATAAATATAAATTAATGTTTTTGGGAGGTCGCTTAGAATAGGACCTACTAAAATGACAGCGCACGCACGTGTATGGATGAAGAAACATATCATTTTATTCAGATATGTAAAGATTCACATCCACCAAACAACCTTGTTACAAAATGCTACAAATGACAACTGTTGATTGATTGTATGCATTGCCTTGATTTCCATGTGTATTTATTAAATAGCTTAATTGCTACAGTGTTCCAATGTATTTATTAAATGGCTTTAATTGCTACAGTGTTTCTTGAAAATATTTGTCAAATTTCACATTGTCTCTTGAAATTCAAAGTGATCCACTTTAGTCCCTTAACTGATGTTTTGCATCTCACTTAACTCCTTATCGTTAAGTCTGTCAACATAAGATTTGACCAATGTTTCAAGGCACTGTAGCAATTAAGCTTTTATTAAATTATTACCTCTGTATTTTTTTCTTCTCAAAGTTGTGTCGTCTAAAAAATTACTTTTTTCTATGGGGAAAAAAAAAACTAATTATACTTTCCATATAAGATATGCTTTTAAGAAAAATCTATAATTAATGATGTACAACTAGAGAATTTACATATAACGGGATGTCATTGTGATAATATTTTAAGCTTATCACGTATTTTAATGTATATCAGAAAGTTAAAACACATGACAATGAGTAATTGGCTCGAGATAGCACCATAGTGATATTTCCAATATAAGTAAGTTTTTTCTCCACGAGATGAGGGCAAGTATTGTTTTTCGTGCTCATCCTTAGTACGAAATTTGGGTTGTCCTTGGTGACAAAAAATTAAATTTAGAGTTGTCCCTGTAGTTGGGCTGTGCTTAGAGGCCCCTCTCCGCCACCTTGTGATTGGGACTGTATGGAGTGGCTAGGCCCCAAGCAATTCAGGCCCAGCTTGTTCTATTTGGGCCTTGAGCTGCAGTTGTACCCAATATGAGATTCATTCAAGAGGAATAAATGGTGGTTGGGTTAAGGACTCGTCTCTTGTTGGCTTTATTAATGACTCTCGTCTATATCTTATTTATAGGGAGCACATTGTGCTGTTGATCATTTATTTGTTATGGTGGGGCACACTTTTTCTTTGGGCCTGCATTGCATACTGTTTGCCGTCTTTTTTTAACTCTTTTGTTTTGACCTTGGTCGGTGATAGATTAGGTTGTACATTACACGTTATCCCGAAGTGTTTTTTGTTTGTTTGTTTTTTTTTAAGATTAATCCCGCTTTGTAAAAAAAAAAAAAAAAAAAAAAAAAAAAAAAAAAAAAAAAAAATATGAATAATAGAAGAATGGGAGTGTAAATTAGTTGAATGTTTCGTAGTTAGGGTGTTCTTATTATTTTAGTAGAGAGGCAAGCCACTTCACATCCGATTGGCTTCTATATATTGAATTCTGAGGCTGATTATGATTAATTAATTAATTAATTAATTAGACGACCCTTCATTGCTAATAACAGACGTTCGAGTTGGCTAGTAGTACCCAAACCAACCCAACCTTAATTTGAAGACAGGTTTGGTTCGGTTCTTGAGCAGACAGGTTTGGTTCGGTTCTTGAGCAGACAAGTTTGGTGCGGCTCGATTCACTAGTTAGGCGGCAGATCATTTGGCAATGCTTGCCAATTGGAGGATGAGCCCTGAAGTATGGATCAACCGACCCCCATTATCTCTCTAATGCATATCATAAACAAGGATGGTTTACCATGCCTCCCAAGGAATGCTTAATGGTTGCTGCTGCGTGGGCTTCTTAACGTATTTGTTTTGTCTTATGACTACGTCTTCTTTACTCCTCATTCTTTGTAGCTGTGTTGCTGTGTCTTGTTATATGTTTGTGCCTTACTGTTTATGGGTTTTGTATTTCTCTCGACTTTTTGCATGTTTGTTATGAAATTCTATCTTTCTGACAAAAAAAAAAAAAAAAAAAAAAAAAAAAAAAACGGAACCGTAATTTGCTTTGACAAAATAGAGAAAGTAAGATTTCATAAAAATTTATTACCAATATAGGAAGCTGGTCAATTAGTCATGACTCATGACTCATAAAAATTTATTTGACGCAGAAAAGATAAGTACAATTAAGTACAGAAAAACAAAAGAACCAATTAAAGAGCGTATTAGCTGATGTTAACTAATTAATTAGAATTTAGCGAATTGAACATCTGAAGCACATCGTCCCTTAGGAAGCACAGGGCATTCAATGATGTCTTGGCCGGAAGTGTCGACGCACAGGTAAACCTGATACAGTTGGCTGTTTCCGGCCGAATCTTTGTTGCACTCTATCCCTGGGGTGTACCCAGCACCCTCTTTTATGGCTTCTTTTATGCTTTCCAAGCTGTACATTCCATCATCTGGTACGATCCCTGCATTATTGAATCATTTTTTACATTTTAGTTAATAATCCTCGTGATCAGCATGCACGTAGTAGGGTTAATTAATTATACAGTAATAAGATTAATACTTAATTAATGATTACCAGCTGTTTTGAGGATTTGCAGAAGGTTAACTTTTTGCTTGAGCTTGAGAGCCGCTTCAAAGTAGTCTTTCTGGTCAAGCTCCGACTCTGAGCATGTCCCGTGCTTTTCCCATTCATGGGACCAGAACCTGAACCCGTTGCTGCTTGGGCAGCTTAGTGACGGCCAGTCTTTTCCAGGTTGCTCATTAGCTCTGATATCTGATTAAACACCAATACAATAATTATACTATATGTATTATTATAATTATTTAAGGCATCAAAAGCAAGGAGAAGACAAACATATCGTATGTTGTGTGTCGTATGTTGTGTCTGTCTTTTCCCAGAAATCATGGAGTGGAAGAGAAGACAACATCATAGAGAATAGAGATCACCACATAAAACATGTATCTTTTCAATTAGGTTGCAATTAAGCATTCAATTTTCTCCAAAGTACATGTAGTTTAGATTTAGAATAACTAATTAATTAATTAATTTTAGATTCTTAGATCGATCTATTATTTAATATTACTGAAGCACGCCATTGCCTTTTTTTAAAATTTTAAAATTATATATATTTATTTTCTTGTTTGATTGTCTCCATGACTCATGAGCCTCGGCATATGGCGCTTAGCTACCTATACAAATATTGCATATTTTGGAACCTAGCTAAAAGCTAAAACAATCAATCTACACTATACCATCTTCAAATGCTTATCGTGTGTGTATATATATATATATATATATATATATATTTGTGTGTGTGTGTGAGGACATACCTCAGATTTGTCGAAGACACTATCGGGATCACAGTTAGATGGGTAGGGAGCCATCCTTGTAATTAGGCCAAAGCCCATGAATGCCAAAATCTGCTGAAGGCTTTCCTGACTTTGGATAACAGCAAGTATGCTTGGTGTCACAGTATGCTCCTGGCCACTGCAGGATCAAAAAGATGATTATGGTAATTAATAATTTACTTATACTACTTAAGTTATGAATTAATAAATAGTTAAAAACAAGAGCTATAAGAAGAAGAATAAGAAGAAAAAGAAACTGAGCTAGCTAGTTATATAATTGAAGCAAACGCACCTGTTGAACAAAGTAGAAGAAATCAAAGTCCTGCGAAACGCAGAGAACTGAGAGGTACTGAATTACTAAAAGCTTGATCAAGATCAAACTAGTGCTGAATCTCATTGTTGGTTGTTGTTGTTTCTTTCTTTTTCTGATGAACAGCTTTTTGAGAGAGAGGTATATATGTGTATGGAATGAATGACAATGCCGTGCAGCTGAAAGCTGTATTAATAAGGCAGATGGGATATCCTGGAAAGCATATGCTCACCACCCACCCATATTATGGCACATTATTTGCGTGTCCATCGTTCTCTTACATTAGTTTTTATCTCTTTGGTTCGTGGTTCCTTCCACCTCCTATTTATTTATTTATTTTGTAATGTCTTAGTATAATCCAAATTAATTTGTCTTTTATTAGCTTAAGATCCCATCTCATATATCCATGAGCAAGTAGTATCCTTGATCTATAGTGACCAATGACCATCCATTGATATGGAATTTTTTTATATTATTTCTTTGCCTCAGACTAAGACTTGAACCTTATGGTTGGTTCATAAGGATAGAAAACAACTCGCGTGAAAATCAGATAGAAAACAACTCTTTTTTTCTTTTCTTTTTTACATAAAACAATCTACATTCGGAGAGGAATTGCAAATCTTGAAGCAACGTACGGTGGAGTGGATGCATTTTATGGCAAGGCAGGTGATGGATTAGCCTTTAAGTATTTGATAAGATGGAGCGCAAGGCTGGCTAGCTTTTCATGCCAATCTTCAAAGTTGGTTATTGCTGGTTTTTACTTCGTAGATCGGGGGTGTTGCGTGCAAGTCAATATCTGCTTACAATTGCATGTGTACAGTGTACGTATTATGCATTAGTAGTAATAATACGATCATGATAAGATAATTTCATGCACGCAGCATGGAATTCTTCAAATGTGCAGCCGTCTCTGGTCAGCTCAGCTATGGTGGTTGAAGATAAGCAATTCCTCAAATTCAATCTTACTTGGAAACTTAGATGTTGATTCCAATTTGGAAGACTTTCTTTTATATAGAAAATTTGGTCTAATGAGAACATGTCAGATAACGATGTGATATCTAGTACTAGACCTCAAGATAATGACGGATACGTGACGTTGGATCCAAAGAGAGTACCCAATCCAAACTTCTTCTTCTCTTTCAGTTAGGTGAGATGATGAGGTGTTGTGCGGCTTCGCTGCCTAACACAATCACCAATTTCTTATCCTCTTTGCTTTGGTGGGTTTCTAAGCGTTTTCAAGACAAGACAACCATGTCTTGGACTTGGACATTCGAAAGTTATGATGATGTTGAGTGTGCTTCCCCACCTCAAAAGACTCTAATGAAGGGTTATAATGACGAAGACGTTAATAGTCATTAGACTAATTGAAGAGTTATTATTGGATGTCTGGATTGAACACCTCAACATAGCCCTCTCATTATAGAATTTCCTTCCTTTTGAATCAAGACAGAACGGGCCAGGCTTGAACCCTCTACACTAGATTTTAAACACGGCCCAATATCAATCACTTTTGGCCCGTTGAAGAATTCGAAGGATGATGAGGCACTGTCCATTTCATTTGAGATGAATATAATTCTATTGAAGCAATCATCCCCTCAGTAACTTTGACTGATTGACTAGCACTTCAAGAAACAGATAGGCATTTCAGAAAATGGGGTTATTGAAACTGGACAACATTTAGAATTCATGATTAGTGAACGTTCACATTCGTCACATGCTGTGATCTTTGAGCCAATTCTCTCTCTCTTTCTACATGTCTAAAAAGAAGGAAACTCAATCTGTGAACCACATTTTCCATGGGGGAAAACTGGGCATTCAATGAGGTCAGAGCCAGAAGTGTCCACGCAGAAGTAAACCTGGTAAAGTTGGCTGTTGCCAGATTCATCCACATTGCACTCTATGAATGGAGTGAAACCAGTTCCAGATTTAACTGCGTCCTTGATGTTTCCAAGGCTGTAAGAATCCCCATTTGGTTGTATGCCTGCAAAAGATTATACATGGAATGACTGAATTAATCATGGAAATTAAGAGGTTAAATTAGTTTCTTAATTTAATTAATTGATTAATTATTACCTGCACTTTTAAGAGCTTGGAGGAGGTTTAATTTCTTTTTGAGGTTAAGAGCTGCTGCAAAGTAACCATGTTGGTCAATCACAGACTCTGAGCAGGTGCCATGCTTTTCCCATTCATGTGTCCAGAACTCTATGCCACTGCCGCTGGGGCAAGCTAGTGTTGGCCATTCTTTCTGCATGCTGCTTCTTAGATCTGAAATCTGTGCCATCCACCATTTTCACAATTTCAATAATAATCATATATAGATTTCTTTACTTTTGTAAAACTGTTCTTCTTTTGTAAAGTAGTATGAAAAAACAGAACAAAGGATATCAAAATGGCGACAAGACACATCAATTCCAGCCAAACAGGGGCATTGCTTGCACGCAGGGCATGTGAGACGTCACACCACATACCAAGCGATATTGGGGTGGGGTGATTCGAACACAAGACCTTAGATACAGGGTAGCTGCACTTGAAACCCCTTACATCCCTCACACCATGTTAATTAACTATATTGTCATCTTTTGACCGGCCTTGAAATGTAAATTAGAAATAAAGCAGATCGATGATTTTGATGCCAAAACATTGAACATTTCAACCAAAAGGTCTACATAGCACGTATTTATAAGATCATGAAATTAAGGTAGCAAAGCAAGTACCTCAGATTGATCAAAGGGGTTGCTAGGGTCGCAGTTTGAGGGGTATGAACCGTCCTTGTAATTTGGCCACAGCCCATGAATGCCAAAATCAGCTGCAGGCTTCCCTGTCGTTGGATAGCAGCAACTTTTCTTTGTGTCACAGTATGACCCTGGCCACTGCAATATCAGCCAAAACAGAACACAAAACCATTATATTGCAACGTAATGCTTTCAATAATTTCTGCTAACAATCTAAATGGAAGGAAATTATGTCTCGCTCATCACCTGCTGGACAAAGTAGAAGAAATCAAAATCTTCTGCAACACAAACAACTGAAAGACATCCTAGTACTAAAAGTTTGATCAAAGTAGAGGAATTGGACTTCATCTTTCTCACTCTATCTCTGTCTCTCTCTCTCTCTGTCTCCGAGTTATGCTATGGCCTCTGACTCTCAGACTGGTTGTTAAATTAGAAGGAAGTGAAAAAGCCGTATTTATAGGCCAAAATGGAAGGGACAGAATATCCAGCAATATGCTTATATCAATTACGCCACTGCATTATTTACATGTGTAACCGTTGCATGATGATGGTTACATGTCGGCTAACTTTTTCTATATATTTCTCTTTTTTTTCTCCTTCCTTTCTTGTTTGTGGGATTTTCTTTTCTGTCAGATTCATTGTTTTTGTTTCTTGCTGTTTATAAAATCCATTATTTTCCTAATTTGTGGTTTTTTTTTGGGTCTGGGGTCAAATTAATCAAAATGAGCCATTAATTACATATCATTTGGGCAAATCTCAACGGGAGATTCTTATGTGATTTTGGCAAAATGGCAGATTGCGTTGAGTTTTTCCATAAAGGTCTGAACACAGGCCAGCCATAGTTGTGACTTTTTGCAGCATCCATTTCAGAAATTAATTGGTGGGAAAACAGAGCAAAATAAACAGCAACTAATAAATAAAAAATTGCTGCGTTGTCCTGTTACTTGTATTGGTTCTATAATAAACTATATTTTTTGATTCCAAGTTATGCTAAGGAAGTGAAGCTTTCACACTTGAATCTTTCATTGGGATCCAATAACGAAGTCTACATGTGGCTGTGACATGAATTTATAAATGGTCCCCAATAATATCATTTGTCGGAATAGCGTGCCGTGATTTCCATACATGCTTTCATACTAAAAAACACAGGCATCATCAGTTCAAGAGGATATTCCTCTCCTTAATTCAGTTTTATAATATATTTATTTTAAAACATCATTATTTGACCTTTGATTGTGAGGTTTATGCTGTCACATTTTCAAGCACTGTTGTGTGCAATTTCTTTTTCGCTACTAGAAATCAAGTAGTGCCAAGAGACAGATGGAGAGCTCGTGTCTTTGTTGTCCAACAAAAAGTCTTCTGTCCACACACGCACGACACAATGGAGAATCAACCATTACAATGAATGGAATATTTTCGTGCATATTTGGGTTAGAGCTATACACAGTTTTGATAATCTTGTTCTTGTGGATAAGAATTTTTAGTGTGTTTCTGAATTTTAACGTCTGTAGTTCTCTATTTTAGTCAGATTTATGGTGTGTTTACTAATCATGAATTGAAATTCTCATCAGGAATTGAATTCCACATACGGAGGATTCATGTGTTTACTTCACATCAAGAAATTGAAAAGTAAGTAGGACCCATACAAAATTAGGAATTGAATTCATGATTTTGGAGAAATTCAATTCTTGGGCAGGATGTGGTATTCTAATTCATGAAGAACTAATTTATTAGGAATTCATCTTTTTTACCTATTACATCCTACACAATTTTTAAAATTCCAAATTTGTCATCTATTTTAACATAACAACAAATACATTTTAGTAATTAGTACCACTACTATCCCAATTCTATCGTTTGGTACGTCAGACTGTACTGATTAATTTCTGTCGAATAGTATAATCTATTCCGAAAAGTACTGACTGTTTATCCATAATATTATAAGGCATTTGATGTGGTTCCGGATAAATAGTCTTACTACGTTATACTGTGTTTGGTGTGGTTCTGAATAACATCGAATCAGACTATTTTTAAAAAAAAATTCTTTGATAATTTAAGTGGAAATTGAAATTCAAATTACATGAAATTTTTTCAAGAGTACAAACTCCCAATACATTGGTTGCATCCTCCCCCTTTCACGTTCAATATCTTGGTTTATCTTGTTCAGGGACACAAACCATTAGTGTTCTCAAACATACACACTTGCTCTTCTATGGTTACTGAACCATTTGTTCTCACTCTCCCATCATCACAAACTAATTGGCATAAATAATGGAAAGTTCTTCTATCCATCCTAATTTGGTTCACACATTGTATATCATCAATTCTTGTAATGGTATCTAAATAATTCGACTGAGTTGCAATCCTGAAAAAACCTTTGACTCATAATGACATTCCTTTCTTGGCGTCGTTGTTCCAAATTGTAAGTCACGAATCACATCATGCACCAAGCCATAGTATGCAGGAACCACAATCTAATAATAAAGTATGCCATAATTTTTCTTTCATACATATCTAGGCATAATATAAAGGGAAAAAAAATTAGTAAAAGTAATATCAATACACCCAAAAAAAGAATAAAAGGAAGATTCACTTTAAAAATTAATCTAGCCAAAAGACCATGGTCGTTAATGGAGTGTATAATGCATAATTGTGCTTAGCAAAAGAGATATGAATTGTGATTAGTATTTTATGGTATGTTAGTTGTGCACTGCATGCAAGCCACACCAGTAGGCTTGTCGTGTTTCACATACTACAGTCATGGTCTTTTTTTTCTTTTTTTTTTATGAGCCGCAAGATTTCGAAAGCAAATTGCCTTTGTCGCCACAAAGCAACCATTGGTATCCCTCACAATCATACCCCAACCAGTGTTCTATTAGGGCCGGGCTCGGTTTGGGTTGGTTCGGTTTTAAGCTCAACCCGAAACTGAATCATAGGCTTCGGTTTGGCTATTTTGAAAACCGAACCAAACCATAATTGATGAAAACCAACCACTTCGGTTAATCGGACTTGGTGGTTTGGTTTGGTTTCGGTTTCGGTTTTTTGGCTTTCTTAGAGAGAGAGAGAGAGAGAGAGAGAGAGAGAGAGGAGAAGAAGAAGAAAAATAGGGAGAGATGGAGAAGAAGAAGAAGAGGAGAAAAAGAAAGGAGAGAGAAGAAGAAGAATGAAAAAGAAGAAGAGGGAAACGGGGAGAGGGGCGTGAAGACATATATAAGAAGAATGAGAAAATAAAAATAGAGAGAGAGGGACTGATGAAGACAAGACAAACGGAGAGATTAGGAGAGAAGAAAAAGAAAAGATTGAAACTATGTATTATATATATATATATAGGGAGTTTCACTAATACACCCAAAATAGGGGCTGAATTTATAAAAAAATCCAACATGAAAACACTTTAGAAACACACCCAAAATCATTATTAAACACACTCAAAACTCATTTATAAACACACCCCAAAAAATATACAATTGTTGATTTTGGATTGATTTTGGGTGTGTTTCTATGTTTTAAATAGTGTTGGGTTTTTTTTTATAAATTCATATCTAGAATTGGGTTTATTTATAAATTTTTAATATATATTTGTTATAATAATATTATATATAATATTTTTTAATATCTTCGGTTTGGTTTGGTTAAACCGTGGGTATGAATATTGCAAACCGTACACCAAACCATATATTTCGGTTTGGTTTCGGTTCAAACCGATAACCAAAAAAAATTTGAAAAAAGACTAAACCAACCCAACTCATCGGTTTGGTTTGGGCAGGTTGGCCGAGTTTCGGTCCAAATGCCCAAACCTAGTTCTATTTGTTCTCAACACAGTGAAACATTGAAAACTGAAAAACACCCATAAAAAGCGAAACATGGACAAAGAAACAATTCCACGAATCAATTTATTTGCTAAAGATTCCCACAACATCAAATTTTATCACATACAAACAACACATTCGATTAAAAAAATGTCAAGAAGGAAAAACTCATAACCTAATTTTTCACAAAAAATTAAAAAAAGAAGAAATATATAGAGAAGAGAGAAGAAGAAAGAAGAAGCATATTTGAGAGAGTATGAAAAATAGAGAGTGAGAGATGGATACCCTAGAGAAGAGTGATGAGAATAACCTATGTAGAAGATTGCAGAGAAGAACCCTAGGGAGAAGAATGAAAAGAGCGTTTGATTTTTCACGGTTGAATGCATGTTCTTTATCCCTAGTCTTATAATTAAGCGTGTATTATCTAAACCGAGGTGTGTGAGTTGTATTAGTTAGTCAGGTAAGGAGAGTATTAAAAGCCCAACCCGTATAAAATAGTCAGGTAATTAAATAATACAAATTGACACCAAACACATGACATGGACTCTTTACTCCTATCCAGAGTCTAATACGGTGTACCAAACGAGTAAATAACTTCAATAAGAATTCGGAATTTAACTCTCATCAATTCATATGGTTTAGTAAACAACTTCAATAGGAATCCAAAATCTAATTCTCCTCAATCCAACTCCTCCTCAATTCAATTCATCCTCAATTCAATTCCTCCTAATCAAATTACGGATTAGTAAACATGCCATTAATTCCTGTCTTCTTGGTTCTGTAAGGATTCTTAGATGATTTGATGTAGCTGAATATACTTGATTTGGCTAGAAATATGTGGGCTGTTATCAAACTATAATGTATGATATATCATGGTTACCACAGCTTGGAAAATTAAAAGCTACCAAATTTGATTGAAACAAACTTTGTATATAAGAAAGTAAATGTAATTGACTTTATTAGAGATCGATTTTTTTTTAATTTATGGATTATGATGTATTGATGTCACTAAGGATGTGTTTGGTTCTATTTATGGATTATGGTTTTTGTTTTTCATTGTATATATAGGGCCTCAACACCTCTGTTTGCACGGAGCCTCTAAAATCAATGGATCGACCTGACCCTATCACCATAATTCCAATAATTGTCACCAACTCCAACCCAAATTTCCGAGCAGCAACGTTAATCTTTAGGTAGAGCAAGCATGGCAATAAGATCGACACAATGACGCTCAGAAATGCACCAACAAAGGCCAAGGGTTATGCCACAAATACAGTGCTAACCACAATTAGGGTTCTGACGAGGATGCTAATTATACGACGGTTGAAAAAAGGGTGTGCATCCTCAATGGCAGTAGCGATTGGGGTGATTACAAGTGGGTGTGAGGGGATTAATTATAGTCATGTAAATGGCTATTTTTGAACTAATATTTCTTGTTGGAATAAGTGTTATTTGGGACTTCAAATGTTCTCCAAACATCAAATAACCCAAAACGGCCATGGAGCCGTATGTAATGGTGCTTGTAATTGTTTATAATATAATGTCAACAAAACAAAAATAACTAAATGGCAACAAGTTTCAGAATCTGACCTTTGAGAATTTGTTTCTCTCTGTCATGGAATTGCAGAGTGTGGGAAAAACCGCATGGCCACAATAGCAGAACAGATATATACAAGCTTATAGCGGTAGGCAGGCCTCTCAAATTTTGGAGAACATCTCCTTCATTGAACCCAATTCCCTCAAATGCACAAGCTAGCCACCAATAAAATTGAAGCCAAAATCCCTCCAGCAGAAATATAAGCTAGCATCCCCAGATTTTTCAGCCATGTAGTTGGCAATAATACAAGTGCAGTGAGCAGAACAAAGCTTGTCTGCCCGCAACTTTCATACCTGCCAGGTTGAAACCCATATTTGGTAACAACTGGTGCAGAAGGGTCGCCATATCTATTTTTTTTTGTATCTAGAAGTATATTTAATAGCTGTGGGATTCTTAATCTTAGAAGGGGATAATCTGCACCAATTGTTCCCAAATATGGGCTTTCAACCTGGCAGGTATAAAAGTTGGAGGCAGACAAAGCTTTATTCTGCGCACTGCACTTGTGCTATTGCCAACTTCATGGAAAAGTGCAAATGGAATTGATAGTATCCCAACACCTGAGAAATTAACAAGGTAATTAAGCAAGTAAAAGAGTCTAAATTAAGAATGAGATTTAAATTAAATAGACTGTTTCCATATTAATGTGGTGTGAGTCACATTACATAGAGAAATTAAAGGAGACAAACGAACCTGATAATGTATTAAGCCCATTGACACAGATTCTGAAAAAGGTGGTGCCTAATTCGCTTGGTTCCTGTGGTTGTGGCGGGTGTTGGTTTTGGCACTCCAGTTTCTCTGCTTTAAGGTCTTTCATTTGTGCAAAGGGCTTCTAGCTCAGATGGTTACGAGCATTTGTGCAAAGGGATTGTAGCTCAAGGAGACAAACCTGATACTGCATTTAGTCCATTGAGAAAGGTTATGGTATTTGTTTGGTTTCTGAGATTGTGAGACTGCAGGTGCTGGCTTTGGCTCTCTGTTTTCTTTGCTTCAAGGTCAAGGGAGTCTGTGTTCGATTCATATGCATAAGAGGAACATCCAGATGTATTTATAGGGAGATGGGTTAACTCTAATTCTTACTCTGAGAATGAAGAATGTGCTTCACAACTAAACTAAGAGTTGGTAAGTGGGCTGGCTAGCTTAGGATACTCAAAATTTATAAATTTTTACATAGTGCACTGCAGCCTGCACATGCATCCCACCATGGGAAGCAGTATTCACATTTGAATGACATTACCTATAAAGTGGAAAGATGATAATTGATAAAGGTGCTTCATAATTGCATTGGCAATAAAAATAAGACATAGGAAAACTAGATTTGAGGAAAATGGGAAACCTTACAAAGTAGGTTTTCAGTTCCAATATTGTTCAACAAACTGTTCTTTCTTACAGTTTCCTTCTTTTATATTCTTCCTGTCAGCATAATCTCCTTCATATATAATAATAAGAAAATACAGGATCTGATAACCGTGTGAGGATTTATGGGGATTTTATAACAGCAGAATGTACATGTACAAATGTATAGAAAGTAAATAAATTTTAAATAGATTTACAACAAATTTGCATTCCTGTTGTTGTTAACTTTTCATACTCACTCAATCACAATGATATGTCGGTGATCACAAAAGGCAGATTTGACCAAGACTGACAACAGAAACCAACCTGCGTTCGTGTTCCCCTCACTCTTATATAACATTGAATTTGTCCACAAGTATCAAGTGGATCACCTTCCACTAACGCAATGAAGAATTTTGTCAAGACAATAAATTTCCTCTGTTAAGCGTCTATGACAAAGATGATATCCGGTTCAATAAGTTCAACTACCAATAATCCCCACAAGAGCAATTTCCCTCTTTGAAATGATGGAATCGTTGAACATCTCTGAGAATTATCTGTCGATTAAAGATCAATGATATATACTTAGCAGCTGAGTGGCAATCCCCACATACCCTAAGGTTCTTCACAACACGGATTGCTGCCCCGGGGGGAGTGTTTAAGAGCCCATAGGCAATGGCCAACTTCTCACTATGATACCTAAGAGAAACTTCTCTATCTTTATCTTCCATGTTAGAATGAAAGACTAGAGAAGTATCAGGAACATATCCAGCCAGCTTTAATTCTTCAACCAACTCATCAACTGCTTGATGCAGTACTGTTGAAACAGAACGCTCCCCGTCCCCTGAGAAGAATTCATGCACTACATTGTTCACCTCTATGGAGCTACAGCCGGGAATTTTTACAATTCCTCTGTCTCTCATCAACTTCCTTAAGCGATCCACATCCTCCCACCTCCCCGCCCTTGCACACAAATTCGATATGATCACATAATCCCCACCATGAGAGTCATCTAACTCAAATATTCGCTCAAGCACCCGCATCCCCATGTCTACATCACCGTGGCTTCCACAAGCAGACAACAATGTTCGCCAGAATATGGGTGTAGGCTTAATTGGTAATTCATCTATGAACTTGTAAGCCTCCCCTAAGCGTCCAGACCGTCCTAGCAAATCTACCATACAACCGTAATGCTTAATCCCCGGAACAATCCCGTACATCTCACTCATGCTGTAGAAATACTTGCAACCCTCCTCAACGAATCCTGCATGACTACAGGCATATAAGAGACCCAAGAATGTGATCTCATCAGGCCGAATTCGAGCCCTCTTCATTTCCTCAAACATTGATAAGGCTTTTGACCCATTGCCATGAGTTGCATACGCCACAATCATAGCAGACCAAGCCTGAGTATCTTTCACACTCATGTCTTCAAATACAGAAACCGCATCCTCCAGGCTTCCACATTTTGCATACATATCTATCAGTGCAGTGTTCACTTTAACATATCTATCAAACCTATTTTTCTTAACGTATTCGTGTATCCACTTCCCCAAGTCTAATGCTCCTAACAAAGCACATGAAGAAAGAGCACTAAGCATAGTAACATCGGTTGGCTTAAGATTGCTTGCTTGCAACTCTCGAAACAATGCCAAAGCCTCATTTGGCCGACTACTTCGAGCATAGCCCTTGATCATAGCATTGTGTACAACAACACAAGGGTCTGGTATCTTATCAAAGACCCGGCGAGCCGCATCCACGTCATTGCACTCAGTGTACATGTTAATAAGTGTAGGGCACACATAAATGTTAAGGTGAAGCCCACATTTGATAGCAAAGCAATGCAATTGCCTCCCTTCTTCTAAGGCTTTAGAGCTGGCGCACGCCTTGAGAAGAGAGGGGAATGTGTAGTCATCTGGGAAGAGATCTGAGCTCAGAATGTGAGCAAATAGTGAAATCGCTCGAAATGGGGTATGGGAGCGTGCGTAGCCGCGGGCCATGGTGTTGAAGACAACAATGTCAGGGTGGGGAATTTGGTCGAACAGGAGGTGGGCGTAGTCCATGGAGGTACCAGTTGGGTTAAGAGTGCAGAAGTTGATGAGCTTGGTGAGGACAGAAATGTCATATTGGAGATGGGTTTTGATGGAAAAGGCTTGGATTTGCTTGAGCTCTCTCAAAGACGTGCACTTGGGTATGAGAGAGACTGGGGTGTTGGTGTTGGTTTTTGGGTGAGAGAATGGGCTCATTTGGACAGCCGGTGCTGCCATAATTGTCTTTGAATGCAAAACTGCAGTGATTTTTTATTTGGAGGGAACCAAACTATGAGATGAGATGGCACTAAAACCTCAAATTTTAGATATGGTGTGGAAATATTTCACCTTAAATTTTGTTTTCTAATTCTTACAAAATAAAAAATATTTATAAAAAAAATATAACTGTTTTTCTAGCGGCCCTCTGTTTGATTCAGCCCAACTTGCTGAATCATATCATTTCATAAAGTCCAGTATTGTAGGGGCCTCTTGTGGATTCAATTTAGCCCTAAACCCATTTTGATTATAGGACTTGTTTGTCCAAATTCAGGGTTGTTAGATTAAAATTTAAATGCATTGCTTGAACATCACAGGTGATTAAAGTTCATGTAGTTGATTAATGTGACTTCCATTATCAAGAGTTGAGCAGGGACAAGCTTAAATCCACTATTATGGTTGATTCAGAATTGGTTTAAAATTTCTTTCAAAGAAGCGTATGTACCCACCACGCCAACCGAAGACATATCTCCATAATCCCAACGATTATCGACAACTCCAACCCAAATCTCTGACAAGGATGCTAATTATACGGCGATTGCGAGAAGGAGGTGCATCCTCAACGGCAGCAGCAATTGAGGAGATTATAATTGCGTACTTAGTGAGAGGATTAATCGAAAGATTAGTTCAAGAAGGGCAATATACCTAACTATACTTTCTTATTGGATTGTTGTCCAAACATCAAGTGTGTGTGATGGTGCTCGTTATGACACAGACAAGCAATACCTGCAATGAGAGGAAATTGTTTACAATATCATGTCAACAAAACAAAACGAAATAAGTGCTCGTTTGGTATCCTACTTGGATCTAATTTTATAAACTTAAAAACATATTTGCCCAAAAAATCTATTTGGTAGGCCCATTTTTAAAAACTCAAACTCTCTCTCTCTCTCATATTGATCGGGTTTGTCTTTGAGACCAATAACCACCGAATTAAGTTCAGTGTCGGGGAGTTCAATTTGGAGTTGTTGTGCACCACCAAAATTGATAGGGTTTATGCCTCACATCTTGTTTCTTTTCTTTTGTTAATTCCAATTTGGGGATTAGGGTTTCTGATTTTCTGATTTTAATATTAATTTGTTTTAGATCTTCAAAATAGTTTGAAGTTCAATACCAAACAAGTTTTTAGATCTTAAAATCACTATTTGAAAACTCATGTTTTTAAAAAGAATAGTAAATTTGACTTACACTCTTCAAATTCAACTTACCTTACCTGCAACCCTTCATTAAGTTACCTTATTCAATATTTGATTTATTATAATTTTTTTTATTGCCAAAATACCCCTATTTATATTTCAACGTGTAATGGGGTGGTGTTTTAATTTTTGGTTCCCCAATTTATTGTGGTGATTCCCTCTAAAAATTTTGTCTACAATTAATTAGAGATTTTCTATTTAAACTACACACTTCTCTTAGTTCACCCCATGTTCTAAGTTCACCCCAACTTTTAATTTAAATTTTCACAATTTCTAAGAAAACCCCACTATCTTTCCAAACTACCCTTAAATACACCCCAAGCTAAAAAAATAAAAAATAAAAAGATTTTCTATTTAAACCCCACAATTTTCTTTGTTCACCCCAATATATAAATCATTAAACAAACGGGAGTTTCACTAAAACACCCAAAATGGGGGTTGAAATTATAAAAAAACCCAAGTACTATTTAAACATATAAACACACCCAAAACCCATCATTACACACACTCAAAACCCATTTATAAACACACCCAAAAAGTTGACTTTGGGGTTGATTTTGGGTGTGTTTCTATGTTTAAATAGTGCTTGGGTTTTTTTATAAATACATGTCTAGAATTGGGTTTATTTATAAATTTGTATAAACAATATTTGTAGTATACATGAGATTTTGTTTGGGGTGAAAGTTTGAAGCAAAAGTATGTGCTAGGCATCAGTTTAAGGACGGTTTGAAGGCATTAGTTTGAAGCAAAAATACATGAGATTTTCTTCTTGTGCTAGGCATCAGTTTGAAGCAAAAGTATTTGTAGTATACATGAGATTTTGTCATGACTGATCTTTTCTCTTCAAGTGTTGGAAAGAATCTTCTACAGTTGTGGAACCTAATCGTCTAGCCGCACACAGTGCTTCAATGCATCGGATCTCAAGGATATCAAGAGTGGTGAGGAATTTGTATTTTTCTAAAACTTAATATGTAGAGTGGTGGGGTGTATGAATAGATATACTAGGATTAAGTATTAAGTTGGATGACCTTTTTTGTCTTTTTACACTGTAATAAAACTTACAGCTTAATGATTTAAGTATTTGGGTGAACAAAGATAAGTGGGGGGTTTAAATAGAAAATCTCATTAATTATCCGTTTTATTATTAAAATTCATTAATACAGTCAACAATGTGTTGGCCAAAAAAGGCAGTTTTCCTTATGGGGAATGCTAGCAACCTTCTCTCTTTTTTGCTTGACATGTGTCATTCTATTTACACTTAAAATAATGTCATTAATATATTATATAAGTTAACTTTTGCTTTCCAAGTTTACCCTTATTAAATGTATTCAATTTATCCAAAAAAAATTTACAACTTTCTTACTATCTTTTTTTTATTTTTAAATGTCAATTATTTTTTTAAAGAAAATATCTGCTTTTTCCAAAAGAGAGGAAATGTCCCTTTTTTTTTAAACACAAAGGACTTTTTTTTTTCCCTATCTAAACCCTTTGTGTTTTTTTTATATATAAAAAATAAAATAAAAAACTGGACATTTCCTCTTAAAAGCACATATTTTCTTTTTAAAAAAAATTAACGTTAGAAAAAAAATTAATAAGATGGTAATAAAGCTGTGAAATTGTTTTAGATAAATTGAATACATTTAATAAGGGTAAACTTGGAAAACAAAAGTTAGTTTGTATAATATATTAATGATATTGTTTTAAGTGTAAGGAGAATGACACATATCAAACAAAAAATGGAAAAGGTCCAAAAGAAAAGGTTAGAGAGAAGGTTGCTAGCATTCCTCTTTCCTTATTACCTTTTTGAAATTTTGTTTCATCTTTCCCAATAATCTACCTATTTTAGAACTTGGATTTCATTTATTGTACCTAGTTTTTTCATGGATAATAATCTACCTATTATTTTTTAGTATAAATTATTGTGTATCTATATTTTCTATAAATTATTGTGTACCTATTTTTCTGTAATAATCTACCTTCTTTTTTTTATATATATATATAAATTATTTTGTATCTATATTTTCTCTAGATTATTGTGTACCTATATTTCTGTAAATTTTTTTGGTAAATAATATACCTATATTTTTATACGTATATATCTATATTTATATTTTTCATAGGTACATTATTGGATATGTAATTTACAATTTTTTTTTTGGGTTTGCAAAATTAGGGGCGATATGTTAGAGGGAATGGCAATAAAAAGAAATGGGGTGATTGATATGCTATTAATAGGGAGTATTAATTACAATTATGGCAGTTAATGAAATGCTTGAAATAAATTAGAAATAAAATATGAAGTCTAGTGGCAACGATGTAAAAACATAGAGATACTTTGACCACTTATATCCTACAGGTCATTTAAATTTGAAATTGAGTTTTACACATAAATTTATAGAGTGATGAGTATATATATAGGAAATAGAAAATGTAGGGACCTATCATAGTTTTGTAGTTTACTTTTTTGAGTAGTATACCAAATAGGGCCTAAATGGCAAGAAATTTTAACCAAGTTTTCAGACTTCCGACCTTTGAGAACTATGCTATTGTGGATAAAAGATAAATAGTTCTTTCATATTTCATATCAGCAAACCATGGAAATTCGGACAATGAAAGTTAGATTAGAATCCAGGCATAGGTGCTTTTCTTTTGAATCCAGATATAGGTGCTTTTCTTTTGATTCCTGTGATCGAATGGCTTCTTTTTAGCGTAAATGGTGGATGCTACTGGACACAGGCTTCCACGGTAAAACGTTGGAAACCCATTTACCGTAATGGTACACATTGACATTTGACTAGCTCCCTCATACGTCTCACTCATGTGAATTCAACCAGCAAATTTGTCCCGGCAGCATTTTGATTTGATGATGGGACATGTTTGTCTACTCAATACAGCTTCTCTGACGTTCTATATTAATGAAACTTGTTTCCGGCCAAAAAATAAATAAATAATTCTGACTTTTTTGAGTTGTTAAATTAAATATATGGGGAATGTTAGTAATATTCTCTCTAATCTTCTCTTTTGAACTTTCTCATTTTTTGGCTTGACATGTATCATTCTCTTTACACTTAAAACAATGTCATTAATATATTATACAAACTAACTTTTGCTTTCCAAGTTTACCCTTATTAAATGTATTCAATTTATCCAAAAAAATTTCACAATTTTCTTACAATCTCATTAATATTTTTTTTAACGTTAATTTTTCTTATTTAAGAAAATGTCTACTTTTAAAAAAAGAGAGGAAATGTCCATTTTTTTAAACATCAAATTTAGACTTTTTTAAAAAATTAAATAAAAAAAAGGACATTTCCTCTTTTTTTAAAAAAGCAAACATTTTCTTTAAAAAAAATAATTGACATTAAAAAAAATTTAATAAGATGCTAAGAAAGTTGTGAATTTTTTATAGATAAATTGAATAGATTTAATAAGGGTAAACTTGGAAAGCAAAAGTTAACTTGTATAATATATTAATGATATTGTTTTAAGTGTAAGGAGAATTATACATGTCAAGTAAAAAATGGAGAATGTCCAAAAGAGAAGGTTAGAGAGAAGATTGCTAGCATTCCTCTAAATGATGTACATTGCATGAACATCATTTACATGGTAGATTTATTCAACAGTGGGGTTGAGGAAAGTCGTGGAAAAGCTTAAAACCCACCATTATGATTAATCCAGAATTCGGTTTACAATTTCTTTCACTGAACTGTACGTACCCACTACGCCAACCAAAGACCCTATCACCAGAATTCCAATAATCATCAC